GGAGAAAAAAAGTCTTCAAAACTTTGTCACTTGGTGCAAAGGGCTTTTTTGAAACTAACATGTTGCCCACTAAAACTTGTTAAGGAGCCACAGTAATGAATCCTACAGCATCTGGGACATTTGAATAGATGACCAGTGAAACTGAGCTGATGTGCACATCGTTGCTGTCTGATTTTGGAACATCTAGTCTGGAACACGCAGTCCCGTCTGGGACATTTATTATAATATTAACCTTACATTTGTTAAAGCCCTCACCACCCAGGGCATCACTTGATGCACAAATGAGGGAAAAAGGAATAGAGGATGATAGGAGAGGGGGGTATAAATACGACGTTGGACTGGAATGACCAGCTTCCTTGCCATGCTGCCCTAAGTGCTCTGGGACACTACACTGTGTGAGGAGCACTATATAAATTCAAGTCGTTGTTATGTAACTGTTGAACAGTTGTCCTGGCTTCCTGTACTGCTGTTTGGTCAAGTGGGCAACTGGCTTGATTCCAGTTGGTACCATCCACTCTTCTGATGTCACTCAACCTTGAAGAGAACATGCAAAGTGGAATAAAGGAATGAATCATTGTGGTTCCTGAATGTAAAATTTCCTGTGTTTTTAGCATCTTTGCTTCCGCACTGAGCAGCATTAAACTCTGAAGCTTGTACCTTGCCCCATCATTAAGCTTATCACCAACAACATGAAGCAGCATAACTAAACTTTGGCCAACGATTGGAATTTTGCACCTTCCAACTGCTGTCTCATCCGCCTTTGTCTCACCAAACCTCCAATTAACAGCATTTCACAAGTATCTCTGGATGTATGTTGTATATTGTAATTGCTTCTGTGGTTTTCTGCTAAGTGGAGTTTCTGTCTGTTCAGTTTTCTGAAATTAATGCACTGGTTCACAGATTGTGACAAATATTATTGTAACTGTAGGCAAAATACTGCAGATGCTGGAAATCTGATATGAAAACAGAAGTCGCTGGGAACACTCAGCAGGTCAGGCAGCATCTATGGAGAGAGGAAAGTGGGTTAACGTTTCAGGTCCTGAATTGATGAAAGGTCATCGACCCGAACCATTAACTCACTTTCCTCTTTCCAGATGCTGCACGCTCTGCTGAGCGTTCCTCGTAACTTCTGCTTTTATTTTAACTGTGTTTTCTCTGTTGCCTCCTGTCACTGTTACTGATATATCAGCCTGGTCTCGGATGACCACAAAATATTGGGCAGAGATGCGGTCTTTCAGATGAGAGATTAAAACAATAATCCTTGCGTGTCTCTCTCCAAGCACTTCACAGGATTTACTGTACAGTGACTGATTTTTTTTGTGGACAGCAGCCAATTCACACAAAGCAATGTCCCAAAAACAACCATGACCAAATGATCAAATTTATTGGGGAATTGTTGGCCAAGATACAGGGGGAATGTCCTTTTTTCAAATAGTGCCATGAGATCTTTAACGTTCATCTGAACAGGTAGACGGGACCTCGGTTTAACGTCTCACCCGAAGGATGGCACCTCTTGACAATGCAGCACCCCTCCAGCACGCACTGGAGCGTTATCTTAGACTATGAGTTACAAGTCCTGATGTGGTTCTTGAACCCACAACCTTGTGACTCAGAGGCAGGAGTGTTACCAACTGAGCCAGGCTGACACATTAAAATTAAGTATTGGCTGCCTGTGGATGTTAAAAGAATCCATGTGAGCAGTGGAATAGATTCCAGGTGGTGCCATCTACTTTCTGTATGTCACCAAAATGGTCATTCTTCAATCACAGTTGAGCTGATTGTGCTCCCACTATTGATCATACGAGTTGCTGAGTCCCTCTGGAACTTCATCCCAGATCCCCACCGCCTTGGGCCCTCCCTTGCCTTCTTCAAGACTTTCCTCTTTGACGGGATCTCTTTGAAGAGGTGAGTTGGAGGGATAGAGGCGGGAGGTTCCACAGGTTAGGGACAGGGTGGCTGAAGGTAAGGCCAGTTATGGTGGCATATAGTGGTGGGGGAACCTGCAGCAGGCCTGTGTTAGCTGAGCAAAGGGCGGGTTATACTCTGCTGGGTAAATGTGACTGTATTTTGAGGGTGAATGACCAATTTATTGCTGTACAAAATATTGAACAAACAGCAAACAGTATCTCAGTTTATAATCATTTGTGAAAGACGACACTTCCAACAGTGCAACAATCACCACAGTGGTGAGTGCTCTACAGTGTCATCCAGGAATGTGAGATCAAAGTCCTTATGTGGGCCTTGAATCTACCCATATTAGAGGCCACACTGCTACTAACTGAGCTAAGATGACATCAGTTGTCAGGGGGAGTAATGTATGTGTATGTAAGAATGATGGATCCATTGGCAATGATTATAAATATGTCTGACATGTTTAGAAACCCATCGCCAAGCTTAAGAGTATTCAAATCAGACCAGACTGAGAGATCTGCACACGGATGGAAATTTCTGTGTTTCTGGAACACAATGTGCCCTCTCTCCCTGGGAGGGACACACTCTGCTCTGGCAAGGCTTGGCTCTTGCCAACCTCTGCTTGATACTCTGGAGAGTATCAAGCACAGGTTGGCAAGAGCCAAGATTTGGGAGCCTCAGAGTGGTCATTGGAGAAACTGCTGGAGTCTAACCAGCTAAAACCACATAACTTACCATCGTCTGGGAAGCTTCCAGCTGGGACCACCCAGCCTGCTAGATCTAGACTTGACAGGAGCGAGTGAGAAGCATCCCTGCCCTCAGTCTGCTTCTCCAGCTATTGCCGAATAGCCAGGTTGGCTGCTCTGTCATTTATACTGTTGATGACACTTGGAAAGAGAAGGGAGATTCAACATTCTCCTGGTGTCAGGACATTCAACAGTAATTGCTGGGGATTAGGTTAAATCCTTTTGAAGTGATGTTTGCAAGTGCAAGTTCTTTCTTTCAATCATTGGTGGGAGGGAGATGTGCTAATGTATCAGCTTTAATCCCTCAAGGCCAAAATGAAATGGTAGGAAGATGATTCTGATGTTTAGAAATGGATGGATTTGAGATGAATCACAATCTTGGGATTTGCTATGTTTGTGGTTAGAGTATGTGTGGTGTGAGGTGTGGGGGGGGTGGTGGTGTGAGTGTGTACATTGGTGGTTGCATCTGTGCGATGAGGCAGATATTATGTGTGGGGGGAGGGGGAAATTTGTGTTTGTTCATAAAAATTTGAGATAGCACCTTATCATGTTGTTGAGACGTCTCAAAGTGCTTCACAGAATATAATAATCCTTGCATTTGATATAGTGCCTTATCACATCGTTCAGACGTCTCAAAGCTCTTCACAGAATATTTTATGTATTTTGTGGGTGAAACGTGGCAGCCAATTGTGCACAGCAGCGTCCCACAAACAGTCGTGGATTGAGTGACCCAATTTTTGGGGGAAGGGATTATTAGTCCTGTAGCTCAGTGGTTGAGCACTCGCTTTGCAAGCGAGAGACCTGAGTTCAATTCCCGGCAGAGGGCGAAACCTTGGGCAAGTTTCCTTACTCCACACAGAGCCTAATAATAATCTCTCAAAACAAAACAATAATAAATTGGTCACTCAATCCACGTGGTGCCCAGTGCCCTTGTCAGTGGAGTCCATACCACTGATGTGGTCACTCCGTACTGTTAACAGTTTTGACACTTACTGAAGGTTTATAATAAAAATAATAATCCTTGCATTTGATATAGCGCCTTATCACATCTTCGAGATGTTCAAAGCGCGTCACGGGATGCACTGTAAAGTGAATTGACTGTATATTTTGTGGGTGAAACATGGTAACTAATTGCGCACAGCAGCGTCCCACAAACAGTCATGGATTGAGTAATTTTTTCCCGGACTAACAACCGGGTCCCTACTTCCTGCTAGGTAAACAGAGGTGTGTGGCGTAAGGGAACTTTTATTTCTTGTGTATATGGGGGGGGGGGGGGGGTTGTTACGGGGAGGTAAACAATTATTCCTGGTATTTCCAGCAAGACAAGGATTACCTAGAAATTCTCTCGAATAAGGGTGACCAAAAAGTGCTGAATTGGTTCGACCCCAATTATCCTTCCTCTCACATCTGGTCCCTCACCAGCACCGCTTTCTTCCACCTCCGACGCATCGCACGTCTCCGCCAATATCTCTCTCTGCAAGCCGCTGAAACCCTGGTCCATGCCTTTGTCACCTCTCGGCTGGACTATTCTAGCGCCCTCCTCGCCGGTCTCCCGTCCAATACCATCCACAAAATCCACATTATTCAAAACTCTGCCACCTGCATTCTCACCCGCACCAAACTCCGCTCCCCGATTGCCCCAGTCCTTGCCAGACTGCACTGGCTCTCTGTCCCAGAGATAATCGACTTCAAGATCCTCACCCTTGTCTTCAAATCCCTCTACTCTGCACCCCCCGATCTCTCTGACCTCCTCTCCTCAAAACAGTGCCCATTGCCTTTGTTCCTCTGGGTCTGGCCTCCTCCTTGTCCCCAGAATCCTCCGCTCCGCCCTCGGTGGCCGTGCCTTCAGCCACTATGCCCCGAGGCTCTGGAATTCCCTTTCCCACTCCCTTCGTCTCACCTCCTCTCTTCCTATTTTCGGGTCTCTGCTGAAGACCTTTCTTTTCGACCGCACCTTTGGTCACCTTCCCCCCTCCTCCCCCTGGCTCCTCCGCCTCCCCCTCCCCCTGGCTCGTCCCCGGGATCCGTTACTGTGAAGCGCTCTGAGACGCCGTCCGGCGTGGAGGGCACTATATAAATCCAAGTTGTTGTTGATATCATTACAATGTCTAATAAATCTTAAAGAAACAATGATTTTTTGTTTCGATAATAGGATATCAGGACTTTTTGGTCACCCTGTGTATAATTATGTTGTTGTATGTAATGTTGCATGGGTTGTATTTTAATAAAATGAAATCTCCCCCAGTCATAACCAATGTAACCCAATAACTGTACTCACATAGGAGAACCCTACACTCCTCCATAAATAGGCTTGTATATAAATACTTACAACCTTTTATAGCAGGGGATCGGACTTGATTCAGCAGTGATTAAACAGCAAGGCACTCTGTCGTAGCCTCAGTCGCCTGTTGCTCATCACTCTGGGAGCTTGCAGACCACAGCCACCATGTTGAAAGTCCAAACAACAGGTACAGAGCCTCATAACTGCTGCAAACTAGCCTGTGCTTTATTAATAATGGTGATAATAATAATCTTTGCCTTTGATAATAACATAGAGGTTTGTTAACTAAGACTCCAGGTAAAGAATCTCTGCCGATTTGAGGAAAGATGACTAAAAGCGAGGCCAAAGAAGAAGGTCTTGAGGTGGACCTTGAAGGAGGCGAGGAAAGGGGTGGGTGGAAGGGACACTGGGATGGAGTTCCGGTGTTGTATTGTATTATCCATAGGATACATTGAATGTCTTTTGTAATGTAGTCTGAAGGCAAAGTCAGGTTTCCTTTAGAGAGGAAGTGTCTTTCACTAACAGGGGTGGTGGTCCCAACTGGACAAGCACTGTAAAGCTTACTATACAGTTACAATTGTTAGTGCACAGCAGACACTAACTAAGAGTGTAGACCTGGTGTAGAACACGTCCTGTAACCGCACGGCAGCTATCGGCATGTTTGTTTACCAACACTGGGTTTCCAATATGGAAGTGAGGTCAAGCAATTCCTATTGTCAAAACGAGGTTAGTTGTGTGTATGTGGGTAAGGGAACCATAAGGTCTGCAGCACGAGGTAATGAATGAAGGAATTATATAGACAGAGACATTCACACACAGAGAAAATTGCAGAGGCGCAGAGAGAGAGAAGGGGGATGCGTACACACAGATAGAGCGAAAGTGACAGGCACACAGGTAGAGAGAGAGAGTGGTGAGTTGCATTCACACAGGCAGAGAAAGAGACATAAATTCCAATCTTGTATTCTAATACTTTATGGAGTCCCATAGCAAAATGGTTAGAGCATTTGCTTTGCAGGCGAGAGACCTGGGTATGATTCCTGGCAGGGCGAAACATTGAGCAACTCTCCTTAATCCACACTTTACCTAGCAGTAAGGGGGAACCCAGTTGTAATTCAAGCTGTTTTCATATGCATAGTAGCACTGTCCCAGTTAGTGGTGTACACTGTCAGATAATGTGGTTTTGAATTTCACAGATAAATTGTCAAATTCGCACCACAGTCTCTGAGGTACAGTGGAGGATTAATAATTCATCTCCTTGCTCAGTTATAATAATAACGTAATAACATAATGCCATAATAATATTAATCCTTGCATTTGATATGGCTAGCGCCTTATCACATATCCGAGCCATCTCAAAGCGCTTCACAAGATATGCCGTAAAGTGATGTGACTGTATATTTTGTGGGCGAAACTTGTTTTTTATCCAGCGCTTTTCACATAAAAGGAAACCTCACAAAGCACTTTACAAAATATAATTGATTCCCTGTGAAGGAACAACAACTTGCATTTTGTTATATAATAATAATAATAATCCTTATATCTTATACACCTTGGGAGGATGTCTCAAACCACTTCACGGGGTTCACTGTGACCTGCAGTAACTGTGTGTTTTGTAGGCGAAATCGGCCACCAATTTGCTCAGAGCGACATCCCCCAAACAGTCAATTTTATCTGGAGGATTGTTGGTCTTGATAACAGAAGATAAACTCCCTGTACAGGCAAAGCATGGCAGCCAAACTGCTAGCAACATCACATAAACAATATAGAGGTGTCACACAATTATTTAGAATTTTGCGTAAATTTGGATGAGGAAGGGGAATAGAAATTGTGAGGCAGATCAGTTTGACAACAACTTGAATTTTATTATTAAACAGCCTTCATGTAGGAGAAGGCCTTAAGTGCATCAAAGTGGAGGGGATAATCATAGAGGTCAAAGAGGTGGGTTTCAAGGTGAAATGTTAAGATAGGTAGAGAGGCGGTGAGGTGGAGGGAGGGATAGAGGCAGGGGATTGGGGGTGTAATGACAAGCAACAAGGTCTCAGGAAAGGTCTAAGAGGTTGGAACTGGCCCTGATAGATATTGTAGGCAATAAGCTCTTTTATTACAGTGCCCACATTATTGGGTGGTTTCTTCCCACTAACTGGATGGATCGAGTGCTAATCTAGTGTGGGCCAGCTCAGGGTTTGTGTTGTAAAAACAGAAGTCGCTGGGAACACTCAGCAGGTCAGGCAGCATCTATGGGAGAGCGGATTCATGTTTCATCAGAATCCATTGGGAGTGGGGGAGGGTTGTGGTAATTTATACACGTGTGGAAATAATAATAATCCTTTGATCTGACGAAAGATCATCGACCTGAAACGTTAGCCCTCTTTCCTTTCTCCATAGATGCTGCCTGACCTCCTGAGTGTCCCTAGCGACTTCTGTTCTTGTTTCATATTTCCAGCATCTGCAGTATTTTGCCCAAAATTTGTGTAATTGTGTTGTGTTGTCACTTGCAGAGACCGATGAACAGACCCGTATCTTGGCTGAGAAGGTTTTTGCCCACGACGCTAAAGATGAAGACAGCAGAGATGAGATCTCGCCCTTCGATGTGCCGGTCGACTGTCCCATCGGGGAGATTGAGATGGTGCAGCACCAACTGCACAAAGAGACCAAGGAAACTGTTGAGAACAGGTACAGACAGCCGACTGCTGACGGGAAGGGGGAAGTCATCCTGAGAATGTGTGTGTGCATGTGTGTGTGTGTGTGTGTCGGAGGGGGGGTTGGGGGGATGTTGTGGACATTTATACACGGGTTGAGATAATAATAATCCTTATATTTTATATAGTGCTTTTTCACGTCTTCGAGACATCTCAAAGTGCTTCACAGGAAATTTACAGCCAACGTACACACAGCACTGACCAAGAAACAGCCATGAAATTACAAATTTTTAACTGGGAGAGCTTTGGCCAGGACACCAGGAGAAACTCACTACTTTTCAAATAGCCCTGTGGGATCTTTAACGTCTGCTTAATCAGGCAGACAGGATCTCATTTAATGTCTCAACCGAAGTACAATGCAGTGCACCCCCTCTCATGAGCTCAAAGTCCCTCGTGGGCTTTAACCCAAAACCTTTGGAGGCAAGATTGATTCCAACCAAGCCAGGCTGAAGCTTGTCGGGTTAGGGCAGAGATCGAACTCAGTTGTGATGCTCTCATAGTTGAAAACCTGCTAATGCTCTCTGTCAAGGCTCACACTTGAAGATAATAATAATCCTCGCATCGTATCACGTCACTGAAACAATAACGACCACTAACGTTTATATAGCGCCCTTCACGCGGGATAGTGTCCCACAATGCTTAAAGCGCTTTGCAGAATATATTGTAAAGTGAATGGACTGTACATTTGGCGAAACGCCGCAGCCAATTGCACACAGCAACGTCCCACAAACAGTTGTCGATTGAGTGACCAACATTTTTTTTGAGAGATTCTTACCTGTGGAAAGAGATCCGCCCATCGACTATCACCTGGGTTCCTGCTTACTGTTAGGTAAACAGAAGTGTGTGGCGTAAGGAAACTTCCCTAAATTTTCGCCCCACCCAGGAATCGAACCCGGATCCTCTGGCTTGCGAGGAGAGTGCTCTAACCACTACGATATTTCAGTACTCCACAGATTGGTGTTGTGAACGTAAGAATATATTGTAAAGTGAATTGACTGTTATTTGGTATTTTTTGTCAAGGTTTCCAACTGAAGTCACCAAATAGCAGTCAGTCACTCTCTCACTCTCTTTCACTCACTCTCTCACTCATTCACTTACCCTCTCACTCACTTTCGCTCTCATTCTCTCACTTTCTCACTCACACTCTCTCTCTGTGCATCACCTCTGCTGAGATGTCTAAGCTCTGCACAGACCAGAGGTCGACACAGATATTCCTTGAAATCAGACCATACCCTGTAACTCAGATTAGAAACTTAGTGGCAGGAATGTGAAAGTGCAAGTTAAACTTTTAGTCCCCCTCCCCACACCTTGTTTCTGCAATGCTTTGGGTCACTTAAATACTATATTTCAGCCAGTTGAGAGTGGGCTGTAAATTTTTTATTGGATTAATGTTATTAATAATCCTTACTTTTGATATAGCGCCTTATCACGGTGTTCAGGCACCTCAAAGCGCTTTCATCCGAAGGACGGTATTCCCAACATTGCAACTTCCCTCAGCAGTGCATTAGAGTGTCAGCTCACACTATGATAATGGGCTTCTGGTGAAGGCAATGCCCGCTCAGGAAGCTTGTCCTCAATCTTTGTGGGTTCAAGTCCCCCTTCAGATTTTGAACTCATTTAGTCTGAGCTGACTCTCCAATGCCGTGCTGGGGGAACGCTGCATTGTTTGAAGACTTTAAGCCAAGGTCCCGTCTGCCTGTTCAGATGGACTTTTTAAGATCCTGTGGCGCTATTCGAAAGAGAAAAGTCACTGCACTTTACTGTGAATCCTGTGAAGCGCTTTGAGACGTCATCCCAATGATAAGGAGTTCTACCAAACGCAAGGATTATTATTGTTAATTGATCTGAGCCTGCCAATGGCCTTCTCTTTTGCTGTGGATTTTACCCTAACATCTGATTTGTTCTCCTACCAGGAAGAAAAGGATGCAGCGAGGACCCATCGCAGTAACCCTCCCTAACATTGAGGAAGTTAAAGACAGCGAACCCATTGAGTCAGCAACCAAAGTACAGCACGTCCAGTACCACAATGTTCCTGATTTTCAGAGAGTTGCTATCACTGGAGACTACACATCAGGGGTAAAGTTCCCTCTTACAGCCACAGAGACACAGTCACTCACTTTACAATAGGTTATGTGAAGCACTTTGAGACGTCCTCTTGACATGAAAGGTGCTGTGTCAAATGTAACGGTTATTATTATCACAGCACAAATCGCTCAATAAGCCGATAGCAGATAGTCAGACCACCCCCCAGTTATGTTCCTGAAAAGAGGGGATATTAATCACTTTAGATTCATGGGATTATGATGCAGAACTAGTATGTATCTGTGTGTGATTTGTATTTGTGTGTGTGTATCTGTACAGTATTTTTATGTGTGCATTTTAGTGTGTACTGTATATGTACTGTACTTGGACTATATGTGTGTGTTTGTGGGTGTATGTCTGTATGTATGTGTGTACACTGTTGAATGCAGTAATTATATATCAGAGGCTCCTCTCCAAAGACATATCCATTCCTTCAGGAAAGGAAGGAGAAATTGGAAGCAAACACAGAAGCTAATCTGATGTTGCATTTCACATTCTATCCAAGTCTTTATCTAAGTCATGTTTGTTCTATTACGTGCATTTGTGGACTATTTACCCTTAAAGATCATTGCTGGTTGTCAGTTTAGCACAGTTGTTAGAATTCTCACCTCTGAGTCAGAAGGTTGTGGGTTCAAGCCCCATGTTGATACTTGGAATACAGACCTTCTAGTCCGACACTTCAATGCACTGCCATTGTTGGAGGCTCCACCCTTCAGGTTAAACAGTAAAGATCTTGTCTGCCTGTTCAGATGGATGTTAAAGATGTCATGATACTGTTTGAAAAGGGAATGGAGTTTCTCTCTCCCAGTGACCTGGCTGACAATCCCTCAGTACAATTGGTCATTCACTTCATGGTTGTTTGTGGGATATTCCTGTATGCAAATTGGGTGCCGAAATCTGCCCACAAATACAGTCACCACAATTTAAAATAAATCCTGTGAAGCGCTTCAAAACATGAAAGGCGCCATATGAAAAATAAGCATTATTATTATATTGGGGCAGAATATTATCAGTTTGCTCAAGCAGTCCATTTGTACCATGCATGTGTCCAATTGTGGGTTGGCACAGCATGCAAGGACAACTGGCTACGTTGAGAGTTGAGTTGCAGTCTTTGCTGACGTTGTGTTTGACGGACAGGTGACTGTGGAAGATTTCGAGCTGGCCTGTAAGGGGCTGCACAAAGCTCTGACCATTCGGGAGAAATACATGCATTTGTCATTCCAACGATTCCCCAGAACCACCGCCCATTACCTGCGGACTATAGAGAACAAACGATGGGTGCTGGAGGCTGAGATGCACCCTAGTAAGTACAGATGATCATTGTCTTCATGTAACCCTAATGGCTTTCTACTGCCTTGTACCATCAATGGCTCCACTCTTAATCCTTTTTGTCTCTTTACCTTCTCACTTTCTCCTGTGACCTCAAACGAGACTCTTGTGTCTCTTCCATTGCTAAACCAGACTTCAACAAGGTCTGTGTCTTCTTGCATTTTACATGATTATATTCCCTCATCAACTTTGAGCTCTCTCCTTCCTGAGTGCTTCAATATCTAATCATCGATCAACTCAGACAGTCTTGTTCATGCCCTCCTGTATGTCAAATGACCATTTCTCCCATATAAGCATAATTGATTGTGCAGCGTCTACAAGGTCTCTTGATACAGAGCCTATAACTCTGACTGTTCAGCGCCTTTGGATGTCCTACCGATCTGAAAGGTGCTTTACAAATGTAATTGTGTTGTTGTGTACAGCACCTGGTTTTCAAGAAATATTGCTCAAGAAATCTCTCAAATGCTTCACAGTGCAGTCAAATGTAATGACTGTATTTGTAGGCAAACACGATAGCCAATATACACTCCGCGTGAGCTCCCAAAACCAACTGAGCAGCTGGTGAGTACCTGGGTTACCCAGGCTATTGAAATGGCACTCAGCTCCTAACCTACAGCCACCTGGTAACAGCGATGGTTTGATTCTCCCGCTGGCCCCTCAGTTGGTAATGTCACTGCCTTTTGTGTGGCTGAGTTTTACACATCAGTTCCCATTCCTGGTCACAAGTTAACAACTCCTTCTGAAAAGTGGTTGGGTGTAGATATTACGTTCTGCAGCTGCTCGCCCTCGTCGCCTGGAATTCCCCAAGATTGCCTACAGGAGTGAGTTGCTTGACACCAAATTGACTGCAGTGATAAATACAGTGTCTACATGTGACATCACTCTGAGGCATTTCTGGAGCTGTGATAGGCGCTGTGTCAAGGGATGATGTGGACGCTGTGTAACTGAGTTCACAAATGCAGAATGGTTATGAGTCTGAGATCCAGGATTATACCAATGATCCTGTGGAACTGTAGGTGAACGGATTCAGGCCTCTTCAGCACAGGAGAGCAGCAAAAGGAAGGAACCCTGCATGGTGCCATTTCCAAAGGCTTCTTCAGTGTATCAATGACCCACTGATCTCTCGAATGCTTTATTTTTGCAGCATTTACTCCTCCTGTGAAGGATGGCGAGGATCCCTTCAGCTCCCAGGACCTGCCTGAGAACCTTAGCTACTCATGTGAGATGAAAGACGGGGTGGTTTTTGTGAGAGCAAAGAAGGATTCAGCCAAAAAAATCAAAGACCTGCCCTTCCCAGACTTACCCACTTTCATAGACGACATGAACTTCTTAATCGCATTGATCGCACAGGGTCCCGTGTGAGTTACCATGTCTGTCTCTGCATGTTATTTTGCTGTACTAACTTGCTGTAGTATTTTTAAGCTACAATTTCAAGCCCTCCATTGGAATTGTAGGAATAGTGGAAGGTTTGCCCTTGGATCGGGACAGTTTGTACCAAGCCCGTGCTCACTGCAGCTCTCTGAAAATCTGCTACTTCTAAGTTTAGTTCAACCCTTGACTCTCTTTCAAATCCTATAACCTGTCCTGTCCCCATCTCATTCCCAACACAGGCTCCTCCATCCATGTCTTACAATACACTACAGATTCATGTTTATATAGGTCCTTTCACATCGGGGGCACATCCCAACGAGCCTTTGTCACTTTTATATTGAATTTCTCAAATGCTCTCCTTGCTGGTCTTTCAAGCTTCATCTTCCTCAATCACCTGGAGTCCCCAGTCCAGCACTAAGCTCTGCACACCCATCGCCCACATGCTGCTTCATGTCCCTGCCATACAGATATATCAGCAACCGGTTTTTTAGCCTTTCTGTTCTGGCTCCATGGAACTCCATCCCGGAGTTCCTCCAACTCGTTCCCCCTCTCCCCTCATCACTCCTCAGTGAGGCAATGCAGCTCTCTTCCCTCTGGTAATCCTCTGATGGGTTTTGTTTCTGTTTTCAGGAAGACATACACACATCGACGCTTGAAGTTTCTCCGCTCAAAGTTCAACCTGCATGAGATGCTGAATGAAATAGAGGAGTTGAGGGAGCAGAAGATTAACCCTCATAGAGACTTCTATAATGTCAGGAAGGTATGACGTTTGTTTTTGGTCAGCTGAGTGTCTGACACGCACAGAAACCCATCACTGAGCTTAAGAGTCTCCAAACCAAACTGAGAATTCCATGCATTCCACCTACACATGGAAATCCCAGATAGATTGTTGGAATGGAATGCGTTTCTCTCTCTCTCTGGAGGGATGCATCCTGTTTACCTAATTCCAGAAAGAATTAGGTTGGCAAGAGCCGAGGCTTGGGGACCCCATTCATACCACTCACTGGCAAGCTTCCCCGCTGGTTTTGTTGGAGTTTAGATACCTCCACTATAACAGTGAAATATCAACCTCAAAGCAATATTCTAAGGCAGTCTCAGTAGTCCAGTTCCTGAGCCAGGCGGGTCCACAGTACTCCAGGGCACCGCTGATAGCACAGCCCAGCCTGACTCATCGGCAGGACTTTTAGGAGCTGACCATTTACTGGCCAGGGAGTCATCCCACTCAGCTGCTGTTAACCCTGCAAACCACAGCTCTAACCGGTAGAGTGGTCCCAGCTGGATAAACCTACCCAACAGCAATCTCCGTGGTTTGTATTTTATTATAACCCTTAAATTATGTACAGTTTGCACACAGCAAACTCCTGATAACTCCTCATTCCAAGGGAGAAGGGCTCAGTGATGAGTTATCAGAAGTGTTGAGTTAGGCATATGTATAACTACATCAATAAGTGTGGCCGGGATATTGACAACAATGATTGTTTAATGGTGACACGTTAAGCCAGGGTCGAGTTATCAGGAGTTAATCGTATACAGTGCCCATCGTGTGTCTGACTGAGTCCATGCTTGCTGATCTCCCTTCATCTTTCCTCAGGTTGATACTCACATCCACGCAGCAGCTTGCATGAGCCAGAAACACCTTCTGCGGTTTATAAAGTCGTCTGCGCGAAAAGACACCGATCGTCTGGTCTTCAATTCCAAGGGCCAGAAGCTAACTCTGAAGGAGCTCTTTGAAAAGCTGAACCTTCACCCCTATAATCTGACTGTTGATTCCCTGGATGTGCACGCTGTAAGTACACGACAGAGTGCCTCTGTTTACCCTGCAGTAAGTAGGAGCATTTTCTTAGTTGATTGGCGAATTGCTTTTCCGAGGGTAATAATCCCTTCAAAAAATAATAATAATCTGGTCACTCAATCCAAGACTGTTTGTGAGATGCTGCTGTTCACAATTGGCTGCCGCATTTGACCCAGAAAATATAGTCAATTTTACAGTATATTCTGTGAAGTTCTTTGAGAAGTTTTGAAGACATGATAAGGCGCTATATCAAATTCTAGGATTATTATTATTATTCACTTATTTTAATAAGTTGTTAATATACAACTACTTGCATTTATTATAGAGCCTTTCACAATACAATACGACTTTCCACATGACAATTATATTGGGAGGATGTCCCAAAGCGTTTGACACTGCTGGATAAAGTAGGATAACGTCTCAGTTTATACATCTTATCTGCATTGAAATGGGCGATAGGTATCTTCTCCCCTCCCGCCCCTCACCGCGCTCAAAATGTCAAAGGCACATGGAGCTTATCTCCACATTTCCATTCCCTCCCCATTCAAATTCACCCCAAACTTCAAATTAATCACTACTAAGAAAGAATTGTTGGATAGAAAAATTATTCGGCGACTCACTGCACTGCTCACACATTGTGCATTCATAGGAACAGGAGTAGGCCATTCAGCCCCTCGAGCCTGTTCCACCACTCTATAAGATCATGGCTGATCTGTACTTCAACTCCAACTACCCGCCCTTGCCCCATACCCTTTAACAACCAACTTAGACACGTCAATCCTGAAAATTTGAATGGATCCATAATAATAATACCAATAATAGTACTGTGTGGAGATAAACGCAGTCTCCCCAAACTATCATCCAACCATCGGAACAGCTCAAATTGTTCTCTTCCAATTTGTGTGTCAGATGTTTTAAGTGACAGATATGGGATAATTCTGTGACTTTATCAATCTAGCACCTCACCCGAGGCCTAAAGATGGCAGTAACCATTTGATGGTTCAATATTTGTTTGCTCAGGGTCGCCAGACCTTCCAGCGCTTTGACAAGTTCAATGCCAAGTACAACCCAGTGGGTGCGAGTGAGCTGAGAGATCTTTACCTGAAGACTGAAAACTGCATCAACGGGGAATACTTTGCTCGTATTATCAAGGTAAAGCGGCAATTTCTTCTCTGTTTCGAAACAAATCTCATTGGTTCCCAAGATCATAGACTGTACAGGTTTAGGCGTTGCCGGACTTCAAAGTAACAAATGGGTGAATGAAGAATTCGGGAGCGAGTTTGCATTCCATTCCAACGATCTCTCTCTGGAATTTCCATATGTGGTGGGATGCATGGGCTTGGAAACTCACCGTATGAAATGCAAACTTTTGGGATGTCAGTAGGTGACATTCACAGACTAATAAATGTGTGAAAGAGACTCCCAACACAAGCAGTTGTTGCTTTGATTTTTAACGTGTTCAAATCCCTTCAGTCTCTGGCACTTCCCTACCTCTCTGACCTCCTCACTCCCCAATCCATCACCAGGTGCCTCCACTCGACTGGCATCGGCCTCCTGCTCCTCCCTCGCAATCCCCTACCCACCATTGGAGGTCGCGGTTCCTGGTCCTACGCCCCAAAACTCTGGAACAATCTCCCTCAATAACTCCGCCTTTCCCCCCTTCTCCCCTTTTTCAAGTGTTGCCTGAAAACCTTCCTCTTTGAGCATCTCAAGCTCCCCCGCCCCCACCTCCCCCCCAGAGTCAGGCTCCGCCACTCTTAAGCGCTCTGAGACGCTACCCTGCGCGGAGAGCGCTATTTAAGTGCAAGTTGTTGCTGTAACTCCTTTTAATAATAAAGGATTAAGTATGTAAGCTTTCGGAACAATATTGAAGGGTACAGAGTTGGTACAGACAGACAGGACACAGGACAGGCTGGGCTGTGAGGTGAGGCGGTCAGATTTAAAGAATGCAGATATAGGGAAGGACAACTTTTGAAGTTTTTACAGCATTAGCTTCAGATTTGGGGGTATCTATGTAGAACATTCCTTCAGCAAATGGTAGTATGAACCCCTGATTGATAGTTTCCCCGTGATCTGCAGAAGGAATAGGTTTGATGGCCCAAAAATGTCTCTCTCTCTGTTTAATGGTCTTATTCTTGTAACTGGACAGGAGGTGGCTTCAGATCTTCAGGAAGGGTTATACCAGCACGCAGAGCCCCGTCTGTCCATTTATGGCCGGAGTCCTGAAGAGTGGCCAAAACTGGCAAACTGGTTCATTGAACAAAGAGTCTTCTCTCCCAACATGAAGTGGATGATTCAGATCCCCAGGATCTAGTAAGTCACAAAGTGCACAGTTTCTCCTCTGGGAGCAGTTTCTCTGGGGGTTAAGATCAGTTCATTGGCTTCGGTCTGTTCCGTTCAGGCCACTAACATCTTCATATCCTGTTTGGCCCAGGCCTAGTGCATGATCCGTCTCTGAAGTTGTGATTGCTGTGTCAGTAGATGAGCTTCTTCTGCATCTTCCGTCTTGATTCCAGTGGAAATTAATGTGGAAACACAGCAGGATTTTGTTTGCAGGAGTCTCTATTTCTAAAAGTGTCAAGTGGACATTACAGATCCCAAGTGAATAGGGCTGCTCCAGATAAATTGGTTATTAACCAATTATGGTCGGAGTCCTGAAGAGTGGACAAAACTGGCAAGCTATCCTCTCCCGCACCAAACTCCGTGACCACATCTCCCCCACTCTCGCCCGACTCCATTGGCTCCCTATCCTTCAGAGGATCCAGTTCAAGGTCCTCACATATAAAGCCCTCCATGGTCTCACCCCACCCTACCTCTGCGACCTCCTAAATCCCTACCAACCCACTCACTCCCTACACTCAGGCCTGCTCCGGCTGCTCCACGTCCCGCGACCCACCCGCCCCAACATTGGCGGGAGAGCCTTCAGCCACTCTGCCCCCAACCTCTGGAATTCCATCCCCCAATCACTCCCCCTCGCCCCCTCCTTAGCCTCCTTCAAGTCCCACCTCAAAACCCTCCTCTTTGACCATGCCATCGGCCACCCCACTGCCCCTCCCTTCTCCCCCCGACCCCAGCTCAGGTCTGAAATGCTGTCACTATGCAGCGCCTTGGGACGTCCTTCTGACGTGAAAGGCACTATACGAATGTGATCTGTTGTTTGTTGTGTTGTTGTTGAACATGGCAGCCAATTTGAATGCAGCAATGTTCCACAAACAGCCATGAAGTTATTGATCAATTATATCTGGTTGATTTTTGGCCGGGACCAACAATCTAACACCAATCAATCCAATCCAACACCAACCAACACCAGGAGATGGAAACTCCCTTCTCTTTTGAAACAGTGCCATGGACCTTTAACATCAGGCAGTTGGGACAAGGTTTAACGTCTTGTCTGAAGGACGCGTTAAAACTGATGGACAAAGTGTGATACTAATCACAGGGATTATCGTACAGCCTCACGTGGCTTCTGCTTAGATAGTGAATATTCTGATTTGTGTTTCTCATTTCAAGTGATATTTTCAGAGGCCAAAATTTCATCCCACACTTCGGGAAAATGCTGGAAAGCATATTTGTGCCAATCGTCAAAGCAACACTTCAACCCCGAGATCACGTGGAGCTCAGTGTTTTCCTCAAACATGTGAGTATTTGAGTGGGTCCCAGAGTAAAAGTCACTGACAAAAGCTTTTCAAGCAACTCCATTTTTTATTTACAGAACACATCTTGTCTGCTCTTCTCCTCCTAAAGGAGAACAGAACTGGGCTCAGCTACCTATTCGACTAAACTCATAGCCAACTCTCCTTTATCCCTTGCTCAGTGTTGAACCCGCCACACTCCGAGGGACTATCCTGCAATAAGGGTAGTGTGCAAGTGCAAGTTGTTGCTGTTGTAAAGACTTGAGGGGCTTTTACATTGAGCAAGAAGGATCCCCTACTGTTGGCATAGGTCACCTTGCCAATTGCCTGCTTCCATTACTTACAACAATGGTTAAGTATTACTCCAGATTAATTGCTCATCTGTGGCTATTTTTGGAACCTCGCAGTGCCCAAATGTTCTCCTATCAATAAATGCACAGTCACTTTACACCAATTCCTGTGAAGCGCTTTGGGATGTTTCAATGTTATAGGGGTGCCGTATTAAATGTAAAGATTATTATATTATTTCTGGCATTGTTCAAGAAGTCCTGCTCTCCTTTGTCCTCTACACATTGACATTTCTAAATGCATTTAGGAGAGTTTCTTCCCACTTCTTCTGAAACGTTCAGCAAGTTTCCTTACTCCACACGCCTCTGTTTACCTAGCAGTAAGTAGGAACCCAGTTGTTAGTCGATTGGTGGATATAATCCCTTCCCCCCAAAAATGTTTTAAATAATAATTTGTCCACTCAATCCACGATTGTTTATGGGACGCTGCTGTGTACAATTGGCTGCCGTGTTTTGCCCAAAAATACAGTTAATTCACTTTACAGTATATCGTGTGAGCGTTTTGAGACGTCTCGAAGACGTGATAAGGCGCTGTATCAAATGCGGGAATTATTATTATCCATCCAACAAATGTCACTGAATACAAAATAACAAAGACCTATTTCGATCCTCAGTTATTGGAGTGAAAGCCTTCACTGGGATTAATCTTCCTCCAAATACTACTGAGTTACTGAACACTATTACAACAACTGCTTGTATTTATGATTCACATTGAGACTTACAAGTGCTCTGAGACATTACCCTACGTGAAACGTGCTGTAGAAATGCAAGGAAAATAGCTCAAAGCACTTCATAACGATAGTGCTGGGCCTAGGAATGAGGTGGACAATGGTGTTGTCAAAGAAGTAGGTCTTCAGATGTGTTTTGAAAGAGGGAGGATGTGTGCAGTGGAAGACCCTACACTATCCTGATTCTCCATGGACAGCAATGAACTCTAGGGGTTTTGTTGAAAATGATACTCAGAAAATGCTGGGAGTTATAGTTCTTTGCTGAATTCCATTACAGGTTGGGGGGTTGGGGGGGCGGGTGGCACGAACCACCTCAGTTCTTAAGACTATCTTTCTTAAAGCAATGTGAAATCTGAAAAATGTTCAAGTTTGGGTTACAAGGAACATAGGAATTAGGAGCAGGAGTAGGCCATTCAGCCCCTCGAGCCTGCCCCGCCATTCAAAAAGATCATGGCTGATCTTCTAACCTAACTCCATCTGCCCACTTTATCCCAATATCCCTTAATCCCTCTATCCTTTCAATCTCAGTCTTGAATATGTCCAAGGACTGAACATCTACAGCCTTCTGGGGTAGAGAATTCCATAAATTCACTACCCTCTAAGAGAAGAAGTGTTTCCTCAACTCTGTTCAAAAAGGCTAACCCTTAATCTTAAGACTGTGACCTCTAGGTCTAGATTCTCCTACCAGGGGAAACAGTCTCACACTGTCTACTCTGTCAAACACCATAAGAATCTTATAATAATCCCTCCAAAAAACAAAACAATAATAAATTGGTCATTTTCAACCCATAACTGTTTGTGGGACTCTGCTGTACGCAATTGGCTGCCGCATTTCACCCCCAAGTATACAGTCAATTAACTTTACAGCATATTCTGTGAAGCGCTTTGAGACGTCGAGAAGAAGTGAAAGGATTATTATTATATGTTTCTATAAGATCACCTCTAATTCTTCTATATTCTAGAGCATGTAGGCCTAGTTTACTCAACCTATCCTCATAGGTCAACCCCCTCATCCCAGGAACTAATCTAGTGAATCTATGCTGCACCCCCTCTAAGGCGAGTATGTCCTTTTTAAATAAGGAGAGCAAAATTGCATACAATTTTCTAGGTGCGGTCTCCCAAAGGCCCTATACAGTTGCAGCAAGACTTCCCTACTCTTGTACTCTAAACCTTTTTGTAATAAACGGCAACATAATAATCCCTCCAAAACCAAAAAAACAATAATAAATTGGTCATTTTCAATCTACGACTGTTTGTGGGACATTGCTGTGCGCAATTGGCTGCCGTGTTCGCCCACAAATATACAGTCAATTCACTTTACAGTGTGTTCTGTGAAGCGCTTTGGGACGTCCTCCCGACGTGAAAAGCACTATATCAAATGCAAGGATTATTATTATTATTATGCCATTAGCCTTCCTAGTTGCTTGCTGTACCTGCATACTAACTTTTTGTGACAAATTCCTCTTAACACTATCTAGTCTCTCCCCCCTCTAGAAAATAATCTGCTTTTCTGTTTTTAACAACTAGGTGAATAACTTCACACTTCCCCACATTATATTCCACCTTCTTGCCCACTCACCTAGCCTATCTATAACCCTTTGCAATCTTTTTGTGTCATCCTCAGAGCTTACTCTCCCATCTAGCTTAGTATCATCCGCAAATTTAGATATTTTAAGTTCTGTGTCCTTGTCTAGATCATTGAAACAGACTGTAAATAGGTGAGGCCCAAACACTGATCCTTGTGGCACTCCACCAGTCACAATTTGCCAATCTTAGAAGGACCTGTTTATCCCTACTCTCTTCTCCCCTTAATCTCTCTCTCGCGCAAGTAGTGACTGGTGCTCCACCTCCACTACATTGCCTGCATTCGACCGTACCGTACCCCAGATGCACACAAAACATTCGTCCGTGCATTTGTTACCTCCTGCCTCGACTATTCAAATGCCCTCCTCATCCTTTTTCCAGCTCCAGCATCAAGAAAATCCAGCTGATCCAAAACTCCCCCATCGCCATACTCACACTCGTCAAACTCCGTATCCCCATCACACCAGTTCTAGTCTGGCTTCACTGACTCCCTATTGCAGAACGGATCAAACTCATTTCAAAATCCCTTCATATTCTGACACCTCCTGATCTCTCCGACCTGCTTACTCCCCAATTCGCTATATGTTGCCTCAACTCGGCGGGCTCCATCCTCCTGCTTGTCCCTCATGTCCTCCTTTCCGCCACCGGTGGCCACACTTTCAGCCAATAGGCCCCAAACTCTGGAACACTCTTCCTCTATCCCTCCACTCGCCCCTTCCTTCCCCATCTTCAAATTGCGCCTGAAAACCTTCCTGTTCGACAGCGTCTACAGTCACCTACCCCCAGCTCAGCGTTGTGCTCTGCCACTGTCAAGCACTCTGGGACACTACCCTGTGTGAGGGGCACTATATCAATGCAGGTTGTTGTTGCTTTGGGTATGTGTATTCTCTCCCTGGAGGGATGTATCCTGCTTACTCATAATACGTGAATACTTCCTACTCAATGCAACACACTTCAGCAGAGCTTCACATTACAGTGTCAGGGAAATGCATCGTTAATTACTGGAGTGAAACTGAATCATGCAGACTGGAAAGGTCACAAGTCTGTGTGGTCATCCCATATCAGACATTACAGTTCATCTAAAATTCCCCTCTCCTTCCCACCAGGGGAGAATCTCCAGCTGGTGAGGCTCTGAGTTTCCAGACAGCCTCGGTCAATAAGAACATTTTGTATTCCAATTTTAAGATTGTAGGATATTGTTGTGATTGAGAGGATACAGAAGAGAGCAACCAAAATGATTGAGAGGATGGAGGGACTGGACTATGAGATTAGATAAAGTGGGCATGTTTACACTGGAGAAGAGAAGATTGAGGGGCAATGTGATTACGATCTTTAAGATTTTGAAGGGAATGAATAATGTAGATAATGATAAGCTGAACAGTAGAACCAGAGGACATGGCTTACAATTGAAGTGGGGGTAAATTCAGAACAAATCTGCAGAAATACTATTTCAGTGAGTGAAGAGTAAACTTTTGGAACAAGCTCCTTATGGAGATGATGGAAGCAGAAATGTTGATTGTTTCAAGAACAAGAATATAATATCTCAGGATACAGCATATAATTTGGAACAAGACATGTCCAGCAACTGCCAGGATGGTGGAAGGAGAACTAGATTGACCTTGGTCTTCTTTCGCCTAGTAATTTCTGACATTCTTGTTGAAAAGAAATATTGAAAAATCCTAAACTCAGTTTGTGTTTGGAAGCCACTTTTCTGTATTTATTGAAAAGAACAGGTCTTCAATTTCAAAACAAAATGGTTTTACTGGCAAGGCTGTATTTCAGGCCTCCGTTTGCTATCCAGAGGTTCCTTCTTTGGGGGATATAGTGGGTGAGCAGAGAGGCTTGAGTGGCTACCACTCACATTCTTTTTTTTTGTTCAATCGGGTGTCGGAAACATGGGGCAACTCATCAGCATGGTTAAGAGTCTCCAAACCAAATTGAGAATCCCATGCATCCACCTTCACATGGAAATCCCAGAGATAGATTGTTGGAATGGAATGCCCTCTCTCTCCCTGGAGGGATGCATCCTGATTACCTAATTCCGGAAAATAGTGAGGTGAGAAGCGGGAGGGAGGACCCTGGCCAACGCTGACCTGTCCATGAGTTCCCTGGAGGTGGAGTTATCTTAACAGCTGACACATCTATATGCCAAGGCCCCTCACATGAGGACCTGGATTAAGCAGCTGGTGCTGAGTAAGCCTGGGACGCAGCATTGCACTTGGACCTCAAGAACAACAAGGTGCCTGGCACGTCACCTCGTAATATTCCAATTGCCTATTCATTGGTAACATCTCTGCAAACCTTTTTTTTGTGTAAAAATCCCGATACTCCTGTTTGAACAACAACTTACATAGTGCCTTATACATAAGGAACATCTTGAAGTGCTTCACAGACACAGAGCAAAATCTCTGAGAAAGGTGGGAAATGGGGTGGGAAAGAATTGACGCAAGACATGGATGAAGAGGTAGGTTTTTGGAAGTTTTTTGAAAGTCCAGAGGGAGGGAGGGAGGATGTGGGGCAAAGGGAACTTAATTCTGGGGCATGGTGGTGTTGTGGCTGAAAGCTCGACTGCCAATGATGGAGCAGGGGACAGGCAGCAGGTCTCTATTTGTGGGACAGAGGGAATGAGTGAGGAGTGGGGCTGGAAGAGTGCTATAGGAAGCAGAGTAGGCTACAGAAGGGGAGATGGGTTGAACAAGGATGTTGAAGTCAATTTCTTCTGTGAGTTGTGTTTACCAGGAGATTGGTGACACCAACCATCAAGCAGGTAAATGGGTCATCCAACCACTGCCCTCCCTATCCTCCGCCCACCCACCCAACCCCCTGCTAGGGACTAAATCCCTGACAATCCAGTGCCTTGGGACATCCTCCCGACATGAAAGATGCTGGGTAAATGTAATTTATTGTTTGTTGTTGTAGCCAAGGCCTTGGAAAGATTCTTTACTAGTGAACCTGACCTCCCTCTATCTCTAATGTTTACAGATCACTGGCTTTGACAGTGTGGATGATGAATCCAAGCACAGTGGCCACATGTTCTGTACTAAGAGCCCAACACCTGAGCAATGGACCCAGCCGAAGAACCCGTCCTACTCCTATTACCTCTACTACATGTATGCCAACATCATGGTCATCAACAATCTTCGAAGGTAAGGCCCTCTGTCTCATTGACAACAATGTGCAATCTACATTACATGTAGATTGAACATTTCGAAATGCTTCAACTATATAATGGGAAAAAAACACAAAATACTGCAGATACTGGAAATCTGAAAAAAAAACACAGAGAGCTGGGAAAACTCAGCAGGTCAGGCAGCATCTAGGGAGAAAGGAACATGAGTCAATGTTTCAGGTCCACGGTCCTTCGTCAGAATTGGAGGGAGAGGTTTTTAAGGACAAGTTGAGAGGGAGAGGCAGGACAAGGATGACAAAGAAGACAAAAAAGAAGACAAAGGAGAGAATGTGTTAGTTGATCAGTTAAAGAGGTGATAGTGGCGTAAAACAAAAGGGGGTGGAGGGGGGTGGGGGGTTGAAACACAACTGGGAAGAAGAGGTGTTAATAATGTAGAACAGGCAACACACCAGAGAGAGAGACAAAGAGGTTCTGGGGTGATGATTGTAATGATAGCACAAGATAACTCTTCTGGTAACAAAAAGAGTGGGAGGGGGGAAAGTGAGCTGATGTGGTCTGAAGTGGCTGAAATGGAGAATACAGTACAGCAGGGACAAATTGGTGGAGTCCTGTAGTGTAGAGGTTAGAGCACTCACTTCAGTGCAAGTGAGAGGACCTGGGTTTGATTCCGGGCGGGGCGAAACCTTAGACAAGTTTCATTATTCCACACCCTTCTGTTTACCAAGTAGTAAGTAGGAACTCGGTTGTTAATCGATTGGAGATCGCTTTCCGGGGGTAATAATTCCTTCAAAATATAAATATAATAATTTGGTCACTCAATCCCCAAGACTGCTTGTGGGACACACTGTCACCCACAAACTATACAGTGCATTCACTTTACAGTATATTCTTTGAGACGTCTCGACTACATGATGAGGCGCTATATGAAATGCAAGGATTATTATTATTCAGATTTGGTGGATAATTCAGATGTGGATTCCTTTACATGTGGAATCAATACTTCACTTTTACTTCTTGTATTTTTCAATCTATTTCTTCCCTCAATAGCTATCTAATTTCTGCTTAAATTTGTTGGTTTAAACCTAAGTTTTCCTCTCTGTGAAAAGTACAGTAATTAAAACTGACCTATATTTTCAACTTCTCTTTTCTGATCTCGAGTCCGTGCAGACTGTCTCACTTGCAGTGGGTGAAAAAGAGTTCACTGCTCTGCACTGCAGAACGGTGAAAAGACAGCAAAGTGGGATGAGGAGAGGGGGTGTGACGGTGGTGGGGGAAGGTATATAATGCCCTGGACTGGTCTGTGCCAGAGAAGGCTTTCCCTTCGTTCCTGTATTTCTCCACTTGTGTCTTGTGCCGTACTTTGGCGAAGAAGTTTCACTCACAAAATAATTTGCTCAATTCACTTTACAGTATGTACTGTGAGACGCTTTGAGACGTCTAGGAAGATCTGATAAGGCTCTGTATCACATGCAAGGATTATTATTATTATTTCTTCAGGGAAAGGGGGATGAACACGTTTCTGTTCCGTCCGCACTGTGGTGAGGCAGGAGCCGTGACACATCTCCTGACGGCATTCATGACTGCGGACAACATCTCGCACGGACTCAATCTGAAAAAGGTCAGTGTGGAGAGTGCAGCCGTGCTGATGTCTGCAGCGTTCAGAGATCAGCACCACCAAGTAATCGGTATGAAATAAACGGGTACTGTTAACACACAGGGAATGTTACAGTCAGATTCTTGCTCGGGGATTTACTCCTGTTACTGCTGGTGGCATCTCAATCAAAGCGCCCATTCAGACTTGGTTATCTGTTTAAAGTTACTCCAATTCCAGTTTTACTTAAAGGCACGTTGGCACATTGTGTCGGCCTACCTCAGTGGTAGCGCTCTCGCCTCCCAGTCAGAAACATGTGGGTTCAAGCCCCACGTCGGGACTTGGAATCACATTGTCTGAGATGATGCTCCAATGCAACACTGTCAGAGGTGCTGTCTTTTGAATGAGACGTTAAACTGAGCTCCCCATCTGCCTGTTCAGATGGAAGTTAAAGATCCCATGGCACTATTCAAAAAAAGAAGGAAGTTTCTCATTAGTTGTTTGGAACGACTTTCAAATAAATGTGCCATTTGTTTCCTGATTCTCCTAACATTTCGGTATTCTCCTGCACAAAGGGGCTTCATGCCAAATAAGAGTTAAATGTCTTTTGGTCTGTCACTCCCCTTATTTGGTCGAGTGCTGATTATACCGGCACAGGTTCAGTGCTGTGTTATCTATTGAGATGGTGCAGTTGGCCTCAGCGTCCTTGTGTTGGGGAGCTAGAAAGTCTGTCAAGTTCCTCTGTCTGTGGACCACCTAGTGATCCTATGGGAGTGTGTAACTGTGTGGAATTTGTACGTGGACTGGATCGGACTTAAATGTGCCCATCCACAATGGCTGATGCTAGTTGACACTAACTGACCAGGCTCACAGGTTACAAAATGGTCACTAGTGGGGAAGAGGAGCCAGTTTGACCGTGTGTCCTCTTCTCCTGGAGTAACAACAACAACTTGCATTGATATAGCGGCCCTCACACAGTGTAGCGTCCGGTACATCCTGTGTACAGAGATATCAGGATAAGAGTGAAAGTTGGAGGGGTGGAAAGTCTTAAATCTCATTTTAGAACCTCTTGTTTCCACGATACAACGCTATCTGTTTAGTTGTGAGGATGGCTGTGAATTGAGATTTGACGAACAGTTGTGGTGGTGACCTACTTAGATGGAACATTCAAAACAAAAATTTTAGGGATTAGATTAGAGCACTCGCTTCACAAGCGAGGAGACCCGGGTTCGATTCCCGGGCAGGGCGATACGTTGGGCAAGTTTCCTTACTCCACACGCTTCTGCTTACTTAGCAGTCAGTAAGTAGTCCTGTTGTTTGTCAATCGGCGGATCACTTTTCCTTAAAAAAAATCAATAATAATAATAGTAATTCGGTCGCTAAACCCACGACTGTTTGTGGGACGCTGCCGTGCACAATTGGCTGCCGCATTTCACCCAAAAAACAGACTGCACTTTACAGTATATTCTGTGAAGCCTGAGTCGTCTTGAAGACATGAAGCGCTATATCAGATGCAAGGATTATTATCATTATTATTAAGGCTGACCAAGCTGCTGTGTCCCTCCAGAGCCCTGTCCTGCAGTACCTGTACTTCCTGACCCAGATCCCAATCGCCATGTCTCCCCTCAGCAACAACAGCCTGTTCCTGGAGTACGCCAAGAATCCACTCCTGGAGTACATGCAGAAAGGGCTGATGGTCTCACTCTCCACTGATGACCCCATGCAGTTCCATTACACCAAGGTAAGTGTGGGGCTCGGGCTGGGCACCAGGACTCACTCATGTCCTTCAGTCATCACTGCTGCTCCCGGTGGAGGAGGTATTTTATGTCCAGAGGAATAGAGTATAAAAGTACAGAGGTATTGTTACATTTATATAAAACCACATAGGGAGTACTTGTACAGTTCTGGTCACTACACTGCAGGAAGGGATAATAGTTTTTTTTATTATTTTCCAGGGGTAATAATCGCTTCAAAATAAATAAATGAAAATAGCAATAATTTGGCCAATTCAATCCATGGTTGTTTGTGGCACACCGCTGTGTACAATTGGCTGCTGCGTTTCGTCCACAGAGTATAGTGAATTCACTTTACAGTATATTCTGTGAAGCGCTTTGAAGATGTGATAAAGTGCCATATCAAATGCAGGATTATTATTATTATAGTGTAGCATTGGAGAGAGGCCAGCGTAGATTAACCAGGATGTTGCCAGAGATGAGGCGATAGTTATTTAGAAAGATTGCTCCTCTCCAGAGATGGGGCAATTGAGAGGAGACTTGATTAATTCCCTCCAAGTTTATGAAAGAATTTGAACAAAGGGGGCATAAATATAATAGCTGTTTCAGCAACATTAATTTACATTTATACTGTGCCTTTCAAGACAAGAGGATGCCTTCACTGACCTGATCTGAATGGGAGGCTGAACCGGGGCTCCCAGACTCTCTTATTTATGAGGAAAATATTATACATACATGAGAGAGAGAAAGGAATAGAGGAAATATGAGGGTGGTTTAGTTGGGGGTTCGTTTGGATATAAACATTAGCACAGACTAGTTTCCATGCTGCATCACTCAACATAACTATTTAATTCTATGGTTTGTGCTGAACTGGTAGATTAGTTCTATTGTTAGAGCTGATACCGCTGAGATCTTGTGGTGTTCAATGGAACCAACAACAACAACTGACGGACTGAAATAGAAACAGATGTCATTGGGAACACTCAGCAGCTCAGACAGCAGATCTCTGATGAAAGGTCATCGATCTGAAACGTTAACTCACTTTCTTCTCTCCATAGATGCTGCCTGACCTGCTGAGTGTTCCCAACCACTTGTTTTTATTCCAGATTTCCAGCAACTGCAGTATTTTGCCTTTTGTTAACTGTCTGATTTCAGCGTGGATCGACGATGGTAAACGTGTGTTGTCTGTTGACAGGAACCTCTGATGGAGGAGTATGCCATCGCAGCCCAGGTCTTCAAGCTGAGCACCTGTGACATGTGTGAGATCGCCCGAAACAGCGTCCTGCAGAGTGGCTTCTCTGAGCAGGTACTTCCTGTCGGCATAGTTAGTCCTACACAACGTATTCAGTGCTTCCTACACCACAGACCCCCTCGTGTTTCAGCTCAATGTGTAGCTGCTTTATTTGAGTGTGGGGTTGGGGGGTCCTTGATAGTCTCGTGAATCAAGAAAACATCACTAAGACACTTGCCAGGACACAGTAGGATGATCTGAACCAAGGGCTGGAGGTGGAGTTGCTACAATTGGCCTCAGTGCCCCTGAGCTAGTCACTTAGAATTACCAGGAGTCGTGTCACTGTATCGCAGTGTTTGACCACCCTTTGTGACGCAGAAGGTACCTCTGGTGTGATCAATTTGTCCTTTTGGTGCAATTCACTTACAATGTTGTTCCTTTGTAAGCAACACATCAGGTACCTGTGACTAGAGGTGTCCCGTACCCAAATACAACCTAACCCACATCCGGCTTTTAATACTCACTTTTACTCAGTGAGAGACCTGAGTTCAATTCCAGGCAGAGGGTGAAACCTCGGGCAAGTTTCCTTACTCCACACAGAGCCTAATAATAATCCCTCCAAAACCAAAAACAATAATAAATTGGACATTTTCAATCCACGACTGTCTGTGGGACATTGCTGTGCGCAATTGGCTGCCACGTTCGCCAACAAATATACAGTCAATTCACTTTACAGCATATTCTGTGAAGCGCTTTGAGACGTTTAGAAGACGTGAAAAGCGCTATATCAAATGCAAGGATTATTATTATTATTATTACTTCCTTCCTGAAATGTTCTCAATCAGAAACCGTGACAACTGAATTACAATAATCAGCTTCTGATATGAAAAGCAATATTATCTTCCAGAAATCTCTCCCGGAGAGAGTTACAATAAAAATCCGTGCATATGTTATAGCCTTATCATGTTGCTGAGACTTCATCGTCTCAAAGCACGTCACAGAACATACTGAAAAGTGAACTGACTGTGTATTTTGTGGCCCAGTTGGGAAGTTTAGCAATGGGCAGAGGTTTGCCGGGGGTGGGTGGTGGTCAGGGAGGGATGGGCTGCTTTTAACAGGGCGACTATTTCTATATTAAAAGAAATCTAAAATATTCCTGAAGAATTCCAACCATAGCCTTGATGTTAAAACATCTCGATCAGACCTTTGTGGATTTGAACTAACCATATATTGCATATATAACCTAGTACCCAAGCCTTGGCTCTTGCCAACCTGCGCCTAATACATTTCAGAATTAGGTAAGTGCTGCTTCCCTCCAGGGAGAGAGAGAGAGAGAGAGAGAGCGCATTCCATTCCAACAACCTATCTCTGGGATTTATAATAATAATAATAATAATAATCCTTGCATTTGATATAGCGCTTTTCACGTCAGGAGGACGTCCCAAAGCGCTTCACAGAACACACTGTAAAGTGAATTGACTGTATATTTGTGGGCGAACGTGGGCGATATTTCCATGTCTAGGTGGGTTTCTGTGTGTATCAGACCAAAAATAAAACGAAGGATGGAACATCTGACAATGGGAAGCTCCCCCCAGCTCTGCTGGAGCATCTTCTACCTTGGTTGATCATATCTTTTCTGTAATAATTCTCTGTGCAGCTGCTAACCCTTAGTGCCAGCTCTCTAACACAGCAGGTCCTGGATTCCTAATGCACCTCACGACCTGTCTGTCTGTCTCCTTCTGTAACTTCAACCTCTACCCTTTCACTCTTGCCTGACAGGAGAAGATCAAATTCCTGGGACCTAACTACCGTAAGGAGGGCCCGGAAGGTAACAGCATTCAGAAGACAAACGTGTCTCAGATTCGGATGGCTTACCGCTATGAAACCCTCTGCTATGAACTGAACCTGATCATGGAAGGCTTAAAAGTCTCTGAGTAAGAGTATTGGCACTTCACATTCCATCCACTGGAACCTGTGGGATTATGAGTCGATCACCTGCCATTACTGAATAATGTTGGAAAATCCTCCTGCGGTACGATCTCCCAGCTTCATTAGCTCCTGTAATCTCCAGCCCACGTTCACTTTGATAGCTCCAGGTTTCCTGGGACCCAACACATGATTGATCAAACACCTGAACATAAGAACATAAGAATTGTTGGGCAAAAAAAGACCAAGATCCATCCAGTTCACCTCCCACCATTCTGACAGTTGCATGCATGTCGCAAACTATATTCTGTATCCCCATATATTACTTTCTAGCAGAAATCTATCCAATTTGTTCTTGAAAACTTTCTGCTTCCACCGTCTCCCGAGACTCTGTTCCATACGTTTATTCCTCGCTCACTGAAGTAGTGTTTCCCTAGATTTTTCCCGAATTCCCCCCCCCCCCTTCAATCGCAGGCCGTGTCCTCTGGTTCTACTGTTCAGTAGAGGATAACACAGCTTATTTAAAGACTCCGTAATCATATCATCCCTCAACCTAATCAGAACCTGACAAAGCTTCACATCTCTCTCTGAACGGAGCCCTGTGTCTCAGGCGCTTATGGGAATTTTCACAGCTCCTGAAGGTCCTATGTACCAGGGATGTGAATTGGATATCTCACCTTCTCCCACTCCCCACCCCCTCCCACCTCTGGTGTGTTCTGTTTATGCAACCACGGTCTGAAGTAAAGTAACGAGTTCAAGTTGTGTTTGTTTCGTTTTGTAAAGGTTTGACATTTCGCTCCATTCACACACTCTTTGTCGTGAGCCGCCTCTGTACATTGGCTGCGATTTGTAAATCCACCTTAAACAGACGATACACTCTGCAGGAGTCCGTCTTCAAGAAGTGACCAAGTCTTAAACTCCGAGTTCAACGATTTGTTAACAGTCAATTCAGGGAACGTTTCATACACAAAGGATTAAAAGTCTCTCTGTTTTAGTAAAGTTACTCTCCTATATAAAGAATGATAATAATCCTTGTATTTGATTTGATATTAACAACCATGAAGTGAATAACCAATTTTATCTCCGGGATTGTTGGCCAGGAAACTGGGAGAGAGAAACTCCCTTCTCTTTTCGAGTAACACCACAGGATCTCTAATGTCCATCTGAACAGAGAGATGAGACAACAACAACAAATTATATTTACACGGCGTCTTTCATGTCAGGAGGCTGTATATCCCAAGGCGCTGGACAGTCAAGATTTGCACCCAAGCTGGGGGTTGGTGATCAGGAGGGCTGGAGCACAGGGAGGGTGGGGGTAGGAGGATGATCGAAGGAGCAGTTGAAGAGAAGGACCTTGGTATAAAATCTCATCTGAAAGACGACACCTCTGGACAATGGAGTGACGGCCCCCAGGACTGCAACTGTTAGTGTTTAATAAATCGACAAGAAAAATCATATACGAGCATCTCCAAAGGTGGCTGATCCTTACAGAGGGAGAAAGATCCCCAGTTCCATTCCCAAACAACACTGAATCGGTCGGGTTGATTACAGAATCGCTAGCACTTATTCTGTGGCCTTCAGCCAGGCTATGGCATCCAGATCTGATTACTGTAACAAGGCAGTACAGAGCAGTGCGGTGCAGAGGAGAGCAGCGAGACTGATCTCCAGCGTGAGAGGGACGAGCTGGGAGGGACTAGACAAGCTCAGGCTCTTCAGTCTCAAGAGAAGACGGCTCAGAGGGGACCTTTTAGAGGTTTAGAAAATTTGAAATGGGATTAAAAATGGAAATTTTGGGAATAAGAGGGCAGACACCAGGGGCGGTTTTCTTTACTCAGCCGACATGATGATGACCGGAACAGGGTGACCAGGAAAGGTGGGAGAGGCCGGGACGTGGGACTGATTGGAAAAGCAGCTCGATGTTGTGCTGGGAGGACGGCGCTGTGGGGGTCCTGGAACGATGAGATACAATGGACCAAAGGGCCTTCATCCAAACCGATCCGGGGATTTTCTAATGGGGTCTGACACAGACTAAAGTGCTTCACTAAGGCACGAGCACGACCTGGAAACAGCCACGTCCTTCCTTCTGTGGAACAACTTTCCCTCACTCCTGCTCTCGCTGTGTCTCTCTCTTTCTCTGTCACTCTCACACTCACTCTTTCATTTTCCCTCACTCACACTCCACTCTGTCACTCTCTATCTCTGTGTCACTCTCACACTCTCTGTCTCACTCTTTCTCTCTTTCACTTTCCCTCACTCGCACTCCTCTGTCACTCTCTGTCTCTTTGTGTCACTCTCTCCCTGTCACTCTCTATCTCTGTCACTCTCACACACTCTATCTTTCCCTCACTCTCACACACTCTGTCTCTCTCTCTCTCACTCTCTCTGTCTCACACTCTCGGTCACTCTCACACTCTGTCACTCTCTCTCACACACACTCTCTCACTCACACTCTCTGTCTCTCTCTCTCACACACTCTCTGTCACACTCTCTGTCTTTGCGTCACTCTCACACTCACTGTCACACTCTGTCTCTCTCTGTCTCTCTCACACTTTCTGTCTCTCACTCTGTGTCTCACACTCTCTCACTCTCTGTCTCACTCTCACTTTCTGTCTCTCTCACTCTCACTTTCTGTCTCTCTCACTCTCAGTCTCTCACACTCTGTCTCTCTTACTTTCTGTCTCTCACTCTCACACTCTCTCTCTCTCTCACACTCTCTGTCTCTCACACTCTCTATCTCTCTCTCTCTCTCTCTCACAGTCTCTCTCTCTCTCTCTCTCTCACAGTCACTCTCTTTCTCTCTCACACACTCTCTCTCACTCTCTCTCTCACAGTCACTCTCTCTCACACTCTCTCTCTCACAGTCACTCTCTGTCTATCTCTCTCTTTCACTCTCTCTCTCTCACTCTCTCTCACTCTCTCTCTCTCAGTCACTCTCTGTCTGTCTATCTCTCTCTTTCACTCTCTCTCTCTCACAGTCACTCTCTCTCACTCTCTCTCTCAGTCACTCTCTGTCTGTCTGTCTCTCTCTCTTTCACTCTCTCTCTCACAGTCACTCTCTCTCACTCTCTCTCTCTCACAGTCACTCTCTGTCTGTCTGTCTCTCTTTCTCTCTCTCTCTCTCTCTCACAGTCACTCTCTGTCTGTCTCTCTCTTTCACTTTCACTCTCCCCCCTCTCTCTCACCCACTGAGAACCTGCGCTGCTCAGTGACAGCTGACGGTCGGGGTGTGAGTGGCTGTGAGAGGCTGTGGAGCTGCTCAGAGCGAGTCCTGACCGCTCACACCTGGTCTCTCGTCTCGACCTTGTGGCGGCCCGGGGGCCAGTGGTGGCCCGGGGGCAGCAAGATGTGGGCGCTGCTCCCCATCGCTCTCTGCCTGACCTCTGTCTGTGGCAGTAAGTTACCTCCAAACCTCCCCCCCCCCCCCGCGTTTCCTCTCCCTCCTCTCTCTCTCTCTCTTTCTCCCCTGCTCTCCCCCACCCCCCTCTCTCCCTCATTTCTCCCCCCCCTCCCTGCTCTCCCCCCTCCCTGCTCTCCCCCCCCTCCCTCTCTCCCTCCCTACTCTCCCCCACCCCCACTCTCTCTCTCTCTCTCCGGAGTGGTGGTGTTGAGGGGCTCGAGGTTGTGTGTGTGTGTAACTCTGGAACACTTCCTGGATCCCTCCGCTTTGCCCCTTTCTTCCCCATATTCAGATTGCGTCTGAAGAGCTTCCTCTTCGGTGGTGTCTACGGTCACCTCCCTCTCCCCCCAGCGTGGAGCCATGTCCGCCACGGTCAAGTGGTCTGGGGGCGCTCTCCTGCGTGAGAACGAGAGAGAGGTGGGGGAGAGTGGGTGGGGGCAGGGGAGGGCGTGGGGGGAGAGTGTGGGGGTGGGTGGCAGGGGGAGCAAGTTGTCCTGACCCAACTGTGCAGCGCCTTGGGACGTCCTCCCGACGTGAAAGGCGCTCTATAAATGGAATCTTGTTGTTGTTGTTGTTGTTGTTGGGGGTGTGTATACTGTATTGTGTGTGTTGCTATGTTGTACGGTTGATATTATGGCCCTCACGGAAACCTGGATCACTCCAGGTGTCAACTCCCGCCTCACTGAGGCCCCACCACCCGGCTACACCTACCACCATGCCCCACGCCCCAACCGTCGTGGCAGTTGTGTGGCCCTCATCTCCAGGGTGTCACTGGCCGTATCCCCCCACTCCACTGACTCATATTCCCCTCTTTTGAACACCTTATCCTCTGCCATCCCTCCCACCTCTCACTAAACCTTATCCTAATTTATCCCCCCCCCCAAAAAATCCTCCCCCACCTTCATCTCTGACATCTCCAGCCTCCTCGCCTCCCTCTGCCTCTGCTCCAACCGCCTCATCATCCTTGGCAACTTCAACCTCCACTTCACCCCCTCCTGCTCCACCTCCTCACACTTCTCTCTCCTCTCCTCTCAACCTCTCCCTCCACATCCACTCTGCTACCCACACCCACGGTCACCCACTCGACCTGGTGATCACCTGGGGCCTCAGCGTCTCGGATGTCACATCTCTGACCACCATTTCATCTCTCTCGGGGGGGACTCCCATATCCGTCTCCCCACTGCCTCCAAACCTACCACCATCTTCTGCCCGTGGAAGAAGATCTCCCGCAATCCCTCTCCGCTGATATGGAGTCCTCTGAACTCCTCCCCCTCTGGCCCACCTCTCGCAACAACCCATCCTCTGCGTTTACTCTCTCCACAGCGCCCTCTCCATCACACTCAACGCCTTTGCCCCCCTCTCCTCATGAACTGCCTCCTATTCCCGATCCTCACCCTGGTTCACCAGCCATTTCCGCTCGCTTAAGGCCAGGTGCAGCTGCCAAATGCACTTGGCTCAAATCCGGCCTAACGGTCCACCGCCACATCTGGCTGGACCTCATAAGAACTACCGCTCCGCTCTCGCCTCAGCCAAATTGTCCTTCTACTTCAGGTTAATCCTGGAGGTGAAGGGCAACCCCGGGCTCCTGTTCTCCACCACCAACCGGCTCCTCCGCTCTCCCCGCCACGCAACGCAGATACTTTCCTCCGACTCCCATTGCGAGTCCCAAATCCAGGGAATCCGCTCAGCTGCCACTGCCCTCCCAACTTCCACTCCCTCCCTACTCCCCCACACATTCCGACCACTACCCATCTGTCCTTCCACACTTTGAACATGCCACCCCCTCCTCATCACCACCATATCCTCCATGAAGCCCACCACCTGCTCCCTGGACCCCAGCCCCACCCCTCTCCTTAAATCGCAGCTCCACCTCCTCGCCCCACTACTTTCCGACATCATCAACCTTCCCTGTCATCTGGCACTGTTCCTTCCCCCCTCAAAACAGCCACTATCAGCCCCACCTTGAAGAAACCTTCCCTTGACCAATCATAGCTGTCCAGTTACCGGCCCATCTCCCTTTTCTATCTAAGAGAGCCGTTGCCTCTCAGCTTCGCTCTTTCCTCTCCTCCCACTCCCTCCATGAACTCCTCCATGAACGGAAACTGCTCTGGTCAAGGTCACAAATGACAACCTGACCATGTGTGACCAGGGCTCCCTCTGCCACCTCGTCCTCCTCGACCTCTCCGCCGCCTTTGATACTGTGGAATATTCAATCCTCCTCCACCGCCTCTCCTCCCACCTCAATCTTCAAGGTTCTGTCCTTGACTGGTTCAGGTCCGACCTTTCACACCGCCTCCACTTCGTCGCGGCAAATGGCTTGTCCTCCAGTCCCCGCACCGTCTCGTGCGGTGTTCCTCAGGGCTCTGTCCTCGGTCCCCTCCTCTACATGCTCCCCCTTGGTGACATCATCCACAGACATGGGGTAACTTTCCACATGTATGCGGATGACACCCAACTCTATCTCTCTGCCTCCACCCTGAACTCCAGGATTACTGGTGTCCTGACCGACTGCCTGTCCGACATCAAGTCCTGGATGAGGGACAACTTTCTCCAACTCAACGTCAGCAAGACCGAGGCCCTCCTGATTGGCTCACGCCAGTGCCTCCGCACCTCGGGCGCTGACAGCATCAGCCTCCACGGCTGCACACTCAACCTCACTAAGCCGGTCAGGAACCTGGGGGTCTTGTTTGACCCTGAACTGTCCTTTCTCCCCCACATCCGCGCCATGACCGGCACTGCCTACCACCACCTCCGCAAACATTGCAGACTCCATCACTGCCTCACCCCTCAGGCCCCCAAACCCTCACCCCACGCATTCGTCACATCAAGGCTCGATTACAGGAACTCCTCCTCATCGGCCTTCCCAACTCTTCCCTTCACAAACTGCAGATCATCCAAAACTCTGCAGCTCATGTACATGGCCTTGCCATGCCATCCATGGCCTTGTCCCCTCCTACCTCTCTGACCTGCTATCCCCTACCCATCTCCCTCCGTTCATCAGACTCTGGACTGCTCCACGTCCGATCCGCCCCACCATCGGTGGCCGGGCTTTCAGGCTCTCTGCCCCCACACTCTGGAACTCCATCCCACGGTCCCTTCGCCTCGCTTCCTCCCTCGCCTCCTTCAAGGCCGGTCTCAAGACCCTCCTCTTCGACCGTGCCTTTGGTCGCCCTCCCACCTCTCTGCTTTCCCTCGCCCCTACACCACCCCTCCCCCATGCTCGGGCCCTGACCCCTGACCGTCCAGCGCCTTGGGACGTCCTCCCGACGTGAAAAGCGCTCTATAAATGTAATTTTGTTGTTGTTGTATACTGTATTGTGTGTGTGTATATTGTGTATACTGTATTGCATGTGTATATTGTGGAGTCCTGTAGCTCAGTGGTTAGAGCACTCGCTTTGCAAGTGAGAGACCTGAGTTCAATTCCAGGCAGAGGGCGAAACCTTGGGCAAGTTTCCTTACTCCACACAGAGCCTAATAATAATCCCTCCAAAACCAAAAACAATAATAAATTGGTCATTTTCAATCTACGACTGTTTGTGGGACATTGCTGTGCGCAATTGGCTGCCGCGTTCGCCCACAAATATACAGTCAATTCACTTTACAGTGTGTTCTGTGAAGCGCTTTGGGACGTCCTCCCGACGTGAAAAGCGCTATATCAAATGCAAGGATTATTATTATTATTATTGTGTGTGTGTGTATATGCGGTATTGGGTGGGTATATTGTGTATGTGTATATATACAGTATTCTGTGTGTATATACTGGTGTGTGTATATTGTATGAGTATATATACTGTATTCTATGTGTAGATTGTGTATGTGTATACTGTATTTAGTGTGTATACTGTATTATGTGTATATTGTGTATATGTATATACTGTATTGCTTGTGTGTATGTATACTGTATTGTGTGTATCTATTGTGTGTGTTTGTATACTGTATTATGTATACAACATATTGTGTGTATATTGTGTGTGTGTCTACACTGTAATGCATGTGTATACTGTGTGTGTGTTACAGAGCCGCACTCTCTGCGTTATTACTACACGGCGATGTATAGCAATAATACGTTGCCCACCTTCTCCCACGTGGGGATGTTGGATGATGTACAGATCACGCGCTATGACAGCGAGAGGCCCCACAACCGTCCCACACAGCCCTGGATGGGGGAGGCACTGAAGCCCGACGAGTGGGAGAGCGAGACTGTCAAACTGAGCGAGAGACAGAAACTCTACCTGGCCAACGTCAAGATTGCCATGCGACGCAGTAACATCAACACAGGTTGGTCTCTCCATCCCTCACCCCCAGTTCACCCTCGGAGGGGTCCCCCCCCAACACCAAGGGCTTCATCAGGGCAATTTATTGTTGTTGTTTGGGTGTCAGTTGGGTTCAGTGGTCGCGCTCTCACTTGGAGTCAGAAAGGTGCATATGGGCAGCACAAATCCCCCCAGCAATTGCCCCACCAACAGCCATGGAGTGAATGACCAATTATTTTTTACTTGGGAGATTGTTGGCCAGGACCCTGGGAGGGAGGAATTCCCTTCCCTTTTCTAACAACGCCGCGGGATCTTTGACATCCACCGGAACAGGCAGACTTGTTTTATAGCTCATCTGAAGGACGGCATCTCTGACAATGACAATTCCCCCCCCAACACCCCCTCAGCGCACTGGGACTTGCCATCACATCGTCTGACTGATGCTCAAATGCAGCTCTGGGCTGGGAGTGTTGCAATTTCTGTGAAGGGCTTTGGGAGGTCCTCCTGACGTGATACGTGAGGGCTCAGCTGTAGTATTGTGTCCAGTTCTGGGCACCACATTACAGGAAGCATATCAAGGCCTTGGAGAGGGTGCAGAGGAGATTTACCAGATGACATAGGAACAGGAGTAGGCCATTCAGCCCCTCATCCTGTTCTGCCATTCTATAAGGTTATGGCTGATCTGTACCTCAATTCCAATTACCTGCCTATGCCCATATCCCTTGATCCCCTGACCTAACAAACATCTAACCACCTCAATCTTGAAAATGTGAATGGATCCAACCATAATCCACAGCCTTTTGCGGGAGAGAGTTCCAGATTTCCACTGCCCTTTGGGTGAGAAACTGCTCCTGATTTCACTCCTAAATGTCCTGTCTCTAATTTTAAGATGACGCCCCTTGTTCTGGATTCCCGACCAGAGGAAATAGTTTCTCTGTATCTACTCTATCAAATCCCTTTATTATTTTACAAACCTAAATTAGATCAACCCTCAACCTTCTAACCTCAAGGGAACATAGAACAAGTTTTGCAAACTTTCCTTGTGATTTAACCTTTTAACTTTGGTATCATTCTGGTGAAGTAAACGCTGGTGTAAAGCTCGGTATAACACTGCGTAACACTATGTATCTCTGGTTCCCGGGGACAGGGCTGAACGTGTTCCAGTACATGTCGGGCTGTCAGCTGCTTGAGGATGGTTCAGTGCGCGGCTTCCGCAGTTATGCCTTCAACGGCCGCGACCTGCTGTCTTTTGACATGGAGACCCTGACCTGGGTGGCGTCCTCGCCCATCGCCCGCCTCACCAAAGAGAAGTGGGATCGCAATGGGCCCGAGAACCTGTACAAGAAGACGTACAGTGAGAGCATCTGTGTGAACTGGTTACGCAAATACCTACACCTGCAACAGGAGGCACTGGACAGCACAGGTAACAACAAATTACATTTGTACAGCGGCTTTCATGTCTGGAGAACGTCCCAGGGCGCTGGACAGTCAGGGATTTGGTCCCGAGCTGGGGGTTGGGATCAGGAAACATGGAGGGCAGGGAGGGTGGAGGGTAGAGGGTAGGAGGGTGACCGGTCGAAGAGGAGGGTCTTGAGACGTGTCTTGAAGGAGGCAAGAAAGAGGGCGAGGTGAAGGGACTGTGGGATAGAGTTCCAAAGGGTGGGGGCAGAGAGGCTAAAGGCCCAACCGCTGATGGTGGAGCAGGCGTCAGGAGTATGTCCCAAGGCCCTGGACAGGTGCTGAAGGCGAGGACGAGGATTTTGAATTCACCACACAGCACAGCCAATAATCACCCCCACACCCACCCTCTATTTGTTTGGGGGTCAGCCGGGCGTCTGACACACGTGAAATCCATCTGCTTAAGAGTATCCAAACCGAGCTGAGAATTCCATGCATCGCATGAAAATCCTAGAGATAGAAGGTTGGAATGGAACGTGCTCTCTCTCTCCCTGGAGGGACACTTCCTGTTTACCTAATTCCAGAAAGTATTAGTTGCAGGTTGTCAAGACTCAAGGCTTGGGGGGGACCCCAGAGTGTGCATTGGGGTAACTGCTGGAGTCTAACCAGCTAAAACCACAGAGCTTGCCGTTGGTATCACTGTCTGGCCAGCTTTCCCGCTGCTTGTCCGGCTGGGACCACCCTACCCATTAGGGCTTTGGCTTTCAGGTTAACGGGAGTGAGGGGGAGGATTCACTGCCCCCAGTGACTGGTCTACCCTTCAAGTTCCTGCTGAGGAGCCGGGCCGTGCGGTGAGCAGCAGTGCCCATGGTGCAGTGAACCAGACTGGAGACCGTCTCCGAGGGTTGGCTCGATTCCAATATTGGGTTGTCATACGGTCACCTGGGAGCCAATTTGGCTCCAACGAGGCCCCGCTTAGCACCTCCCCCCTCCTGAGGTTAAACACGAGCCCCTTCCCTGAGCTGTCCTGACCTTGGCCCTCTTGCCCCCCTCAGTGAAGCCCAAGGTGACAGTGAGAGCCCTTAAGATGGTGAATTCCCTCGGGCACCGCCTGGTGTGTCTGGTGACGGGGTTTTACACGCGGGATGTGCGAGTGACTTGGCGCCACGAGGGACAGGACGTGCCCGAGACCACCAACACCGGCATTATCCCCAACCACGACAGCACCTACCAGATCACCAGCTACCATGACACCAGCCCCCCCCACTCCAAGGACGCCTACTGCTGCCACGTTCAACACAGCAGTTTTCCAGAGGGGAAAACCGTGGTCTGCAGTAAGAGAGACTCTGTGTGTGGAGGGGGAGTGTCTGTGTGTTGGTGGGTGGGGGGAGTGTGTGCGGTGTGGGGGCTGTGTGTAGGGGGTGTGTGGGGAGGGAAGTGTGCGTGTGTGTGGTGGGAGGGGTGAGTGTGTATGGGGGGAGTGTGTGTGTTTGCGGGGGGGGGGTGTGTGTTTGCGGGGGGTGTGTGTGTATGGGGGAGTGTGTGTGTTTGGGGGGGTGTGTGTGTTTGGGGGGGTGTGTGTGTTTGCGGGGGGTGTGTGTGTATGGGGGGAGTGTGTGTGTTTGGGGGGGGTGTGTGTGTTTGGGGTGTGTGTGTGTTTGGGGGGAGTATGTGTGTTTGGGTGGGGGTGTATGGGAGGGGAAGTGTGCACGTGGGGTGGGAGTGTCTGTGGGTGTATTTGGGGGGGAGTGTGTGGGTGTGTTTGTTGGGGGGAGTGTGTGGGTGTTTTTGTGGGGGGCAGTCGCTGTGTGTGTGGGGGGGACAGTCGCTGTGTGTGTGGGGGGGAAGTCGCTGTGTGTGTGTGGGGGCAGTCGCTGTGTGTGTGTGTGTGTGTGGGGGCAGTCGCTGTGTGTGTGGGGGCAGTCGCTGTGTGTGTGTGGAGGCAGTCGCTGTGTGTGTGTGGGGGCAGTCGCTGTGTGTGTGTGGGGCAGTCGCTGTGTGTGTGGGGCAGTCGCTGTGTGTGTGTGTGTGGGGCAGTCGCTGTGTGTGTGGGGCAGTCGCTGTGTGTGTGGGGGCAGTCGCTGTGTGTGTGTGGGGCAGTCGCTGTGTGTGTGTGTGGGGCAGTCGCTGTGTGTCTGTGTGTGGGGGCAGTCGCTGTGTGTGTGGGGCAGTCGCTGTGTGTGTGTGTGGGGGCAGTCGCTGTGTGTGTGGGGCAGTCGCTGTGTGTGTGTGTGTGTGGGGCAGTCGCTGTGTGTGTGTGTGGGGGCAGTCGCTGTGTGTGTGTGGGGCAGTCGCTGTGTGTGTGTGGGGCAGTCGCTGTGTGTGTGGGGCAGTCGCTGTGTGTGTGTGTGGGGGGGTAGTCGCTGTGTGTGTGTGTGTGTGGGGCAGTCGCTGTGTGTGTGTGTGTGTGGGGGCAGTCGCTGTGTGTGTGGGGCAGTCGCTGTGTGTGTGTGTGTGGGGGCAGTCGCTGTGTGTGTGTGTGTGTGGGGCAGTCGCTGTGTGTGTGGGGCAGTCGCTGTGTGTGTGGGGCAGTCGCTGTGTGTGTGGGGCAGTCGCTGTGTGTGTGTGTGTGTGTGTGTGGGGCAGTCGCTGTGTGTGTGGGGCAGTCGCTGTGTGTGTGTGGGGCAGTCGCTGTGTGTGTGTGTGTGGGGGCAGTCGCTGTGTGTGTGTGGGGGCAGTCGCTGTGTGTGTGTGTGTGGGGGCAGTCGCTGTGTGTGTGGGGCAGTCGCTGTGTGTGTGGGGCAGTCGCTGTGTGTATGTGTGTGGGGCAGTCGCTGTGTGTGTGGTGGGGGCAGTCGCTGTGTGTGTGTGGGGCAGTCGCTGTGTGTGTGTGTGTGGGGGCAGTCGCTGTGTGTGTGTGTGTGTGGGGCAGTCGCTGTGTGTGTGTGTGTGTGGGGCAGTCGCTGTGTGTGTGGGGCAGTCGCTGTGTGTGTGTGTGTGTGGGCAGTCGCTGTGTGTGTGTGTGTGTGTGGGGGCAGTCGCTGTGTGTGTGTGTGTGTGTGGGGGCAGTCGCTGTGTGTGTGGGGCAGTCGCTGTGTGTGTGTGGGGGCAGTCGCTGTGTGTGTGGGCCAGTCGCTGTGTGTGTGGGGCAGTCGCTGTGTGTGTGTGGGGCAGTCGCTGTGTGTGTGTGTGTGGGGCAGTCGCTGTGTGTGTGTGTGGGGGCAGTCGCTGTGTGTGTGTGGGGCAGTCGCTGTGTGTGTGTGTGTGTGGGGGCAGTCGCTGTGTGTGTGGGGCAGTGCTGTGTGTGTGTGTGGGGGCAGTCGCTGTGTGTTGTGGGGCAGTCGCTGTGTGTGTGGGGCAGTCGCTGTGTGTGTGTGTGTGGGGCAGTCGCTGTGTGTGTGGGGCAGTCGCTGTGTGTGTGGGGCAGTCGCTGTGTGTGTGTGTGGGGGCAGTCGCTGTGTGTGTGTGTGTGTGGGGGCAGTCGCTGTGTGTGTGGGGGGCAGTCGCTGTGTGTGTGTGTGGGGCAGTCGCTGTGTGTGTGTGTGTGTGGGGCAGTCGCTGTGTGTGTGTGTGTGGGGCAGTCGCTGTGTGTGTGTGTGGGGCAGTCGCTGTGTGTGTGTGTGTGTGTGGGGGCAGTCGCTGTGTGTGTGGTGTGTGGTGTGTGTGTGTGGGGCAGTCGCTGTGTGGTGTGTGTGTGGGGCAGTCGCTGTGTGTGTGTGTGTGGGGGCAGTCGCTGTGTGTGTGTGTGGGGGGGCAGTGCTGTGTGTGTGGGGGCAGTCGCTGGTGTGTGTGTGGGGCAGTCGCTGTGGTGTTGTGGGGCAGTCGCTGTGTGTGGTGTGGGGGCAGTCGCTGTGTGTGTGTGTGTGGGGCAGTCGCTGTGTGTGTGTGGGGCAGTCGCTGTGTGTGTGTGGGGGGGCAGTCGCTGTGTGTGTGTGTGTGTGTCAGTCGCTGTGTGTGTGTGTCAGTCGCTGTGTGTGTGTGTGTGTGTCAGTCGCTGTGTGTGTGTGTGTGTGTGTCAGTCGCTGTGTGTGTGTGTGTGTCAGTCGCTGTGTGTGTGTCAGTCGCTGTGTGTGTGTGTGTCAGTCGCTGTGTGTGTGTGTCAGTCGCTGTGTGTGTGTGTGTGTGTGGGGCAGTCGCTGTGTGTGTGTGGGGCAGTCGCTGTGTGTGTGTGGGGCAGTCGCTGTGTGTGTGTGGGGCAGTCGCTGTGTGTGTGTGGGGCAGTCGCTGTGTGTGTGTGTGGGGCAGTCGCTGTGTGTGTGTGTGGGGGGGCAGTCGCTGTGTGTGTGGGGCAGTCGCTGTGTGTGTGTGTGGGGGCAGTCGCTGTGTGTGTGGGGCAGTCGCTGTGTGTGTGTGGGGGCAGTCGCTGTGTGTGTGTGTGTGGGGCGCTGTGTGTGTGTGGGGCAGTCGCTGTGGTGTGTGTGTGTCGGTGGTGGGGGGCAGTCGCTGTGTGTGTGGGGGCAGTGCTGTGTGTGTGTGTGGGGGGCAGTGCTGTGTGTGTGGGGGCAGTCGCTGTGTGGTGTGTGTGGGGGGCAGTCGCTGTGTGTGTGTGTGTGTGTGGGGCAGTCGCTGTGTGTGTGTGGGGCAGTCGCTGTGTGTGTGTGTGGGGGGCAGTCGCTGCGTGTGTGTGTGGGGGCAGTCGCTGTGTGTGTGTGTGTGGGGCAGTCGCTGTGTGTGTGTGGGGGCAGTCGCTGTGTGTGTGTGTGTGGGGCAGTCGCTGTGTGTGTGTGGGGCAGTCGCTGTGTGTGTGTGTGTGGGGCAGTCGCTGTGTGTGTGGGGCAGTCGCTGTGTGTGTGGGGCAGTCGCTGTGTGTGTGTGTGGGGGGGCAGTCGCTGTGTGTGGGGGGGCAGTCGCTGTGGGGGGCTGTAGGCTCTGTGTCAGGGCTGTTGCTGTGTTTGGTGACAGGGGACGCAGTGCTCTGGACACCCGGAAAGATCGCGGCTCTGTGTGTTTGTGGGGTTTTACTACTCGTCATCAGCATTGTCGCTCTCATTGTGTTTATATGGAGAAAGAGATACAGACTTCGCTCTCTGAGCTGCAAAAACACAGGTCAGTCACACACCCACACACACCCCCACACACACACCCCCACACACACACACCCCCTCACACACCCCCACACACACCCCCACACACACCCCCACACACACACCCCCACACACACACCCCCACACACACCCTCACACACACCCCGACACACACACCCACACACACCCACACACACCCACACACACACACCCACATACACATAAACACCTTACCCCTCCCACAGACACCCTCTCCCCCCACACAAACACACTCCCCAACACACATAAGAGTGCCACCTGCACACACACACGGACACCCCCACCCACACGCACTCAAAAACACACACTAACAGCGAGCGCACAGACACAGCCCACGCGCTCACACGCGCTCACACGCACACACATTGCGTGTCACTGCGTCACTCACACTGTCCGTTTATTTTCTTTCAGGTTCGGAACAAAGCAGTTCATCATCAGGAAGTGAGTTTGTGAGAGAGGGAATGTGTCAGAGAGGGTGTGAGTGAGTGAGTGAGTGAGTGAGTGCGGCAGTGAGACAGTGAGTGAGTGAGTGCGGCAATGAGTGAGTGAGTGAGTGCGGCAGTGAGACAGTGAGTGAGTGAGTGAGTGAGTGAGTGAGTGAGTGAGTGAGTGAGTGAGTGAGTGAGTGAGTGAGTGAGTGAGTGAGTGAGTGAGTGAGTGAGTGAGTGAGTGAGTGAGTGAGTGAGTGAGTGAGTGAGTGAGTGAGTGAGTGAGTGAGTGAGTGAGTGAGTGAGTGAGACAGTGAGTGAGACAGTGAGTGAGACAGTGAGTGAGACAGTGAGTGAGACAGTGAGTGAGTGAGTGCGGCAGTGAGTGAGTGAGTGCGGCAGTGAGTGAGTGAGTGCGGCAGTGAGTGAGTGAGTGAGTGAGTGAGTGAGTGAGTGAGTGAGTGCGGCAGTGTGTGTATGAGGGAGAATATGAGAGGGGAAAGAGTGTGAGAGAAGGAGTACGTGATAGTGTATGTGTGTCTGTGTGTGAGTGGGTGAGAGGGAAGGTTTTAAACCCTCAGCGATTCACGTGGGGCTGAGAAAGAGAATAAACAGGAGATAGCAACACATTAGAGTGCTCTAACCACGAAGCTGAGTGTGGAGAGCGCTCGCCTCGCAAGCGAGAAGACCCGGGTTCGAATCCCGGGCAGAGCGAAACGTTAGGCAGGTTTCCTTACTCCACGCGCCTCTTTTGACCCGGCGGTGATTAGGGTGTCAGCCGTTTGGCGGATCACTTTCTGGGGGTAATAATCCCTTCAAGAAGATTATAAATAATAATTTGGTCGCTCAATCCATGGCTGTTTGTGGGACACTGCCGTGTGCAATCGGTTGCCACGTTTCGCCCACAAAATAATAATAATTGTGTAATAATCGCTCATATAATAATAATAATCCTTGAATTTGAGGCGTGTGGAGTAAGGATACTTGCCGAACATTTTGCCCTGCCCAGGAATCGAACTGGTGTCCTCTCGCTTGCGAGGCGAGTGCTCTAGCCAGTACACTAATATACTCTTCCTCACAAAATATACTGTCAAGTGAATTGACTATATTTTGTGGGTGAAATACAGCAGCAGTGAATTGAGAGATGTCTCAAAAAATGTGATAAGGTGCTATATCAAATGCAAGGAATATTATAACTGCTGCCTGGAGGGCTTTTACCAGGGAGGACATTAAATATCTGCTCCCGACAGCGGCAAACATTGTTTGAGCCCCAGGATTTTAACCTGAGTGAGGCTGAGACTCTGGGTGTTAAACGATTGCCCTCGGCATTGCCCAGTGGCCCAGGGGCTGAGGGAGACATGGCAGGAGATCTGTGCAGAGCTGCCAGTCATCGGGGAGTCAGTCAGTGGGTCAGGACCAGGAGGTTTCCGCGGGCAGGAAACAGCCAGAGTCAAGAGAGGCGTCAAAACAAATCCTGACAACGATAGAGCCGTTGGCCTGAGCTCAGCAATAGGACACGTTGATGGAGTCAAACATCAGAAAGGAAGCGGGAGATTAGGCTCATCAAAATAATTTGATAACTGACGCTCTCGGTTGTCTCACTATCTCTCACACTCACACGCTCTCTGTCTCTCTCGCACACACTCGCTTACTCTTCCCTCTTACTCTTGCACGTCCTCACTCTCTCATGCACTCACACTCTCAACCATGTTCTCTCACGCTCACACTCATTCACTCTCACTCTCTTTCACACTCATTCTCATTCCCTCTCTCACTGTCACTCTCTCTCACACTTACGCACACACACACACACCCTCTATCTCTCTCACATGTTCTCTCCCTCTCTCCCACACAGGTTCTCAGGAAAGTCTCCCTCCGTTGCAGGAATTTGACAAGTTGATGACTTCTCCCGATGACTCCTCGACCTCCAGCTCCTGTTCCGTGCAACCCTAACCCTCTCCCAGCCCCCCTCTCCCGCAGCCTCCACTCACCACCCCTCCTTCTCCCAGCCTCCTCTCCCCAGTCTCCCCTCTGCCAGTCTCCCATCTCCCAGACCCCCCCCCTCCCCAGTCTCCCCTCTCCCAGGCCCCCCCCTCCGCAGTCTCCCCTCTCCCAGCCCCCCCCCCTCCGCAGTCTCCCTTCTCCCAGGCCCCCCCCACAGCCACCCACCCACTCCGCAGTCTCCCCTCTCCCAGGCTGCCCTCTCCCCCCTCTCACAAGCCTGATTTGAGACATGCCCGTGGGCTGCATAAGCAATATTTCTGGGTTTCGCTTCCAGAAAGAATCATAGAATTGTACAGCACAAAAAGAGGCCATTCGGCCCATCGAGTCTGTGACGGCTCTTTGAAAAGAGCAATGTAGTGTCAACCCCACTGCCCGGCCCTTTCCCCATAACCTGCAAACCCGTCCTCCTCAAATACCGTCCACCGCGTTTTTAAAAGTAGTTATCGAATCGGCCTCGACCGCCCTTTCAGGCAATGCCTTCCAGATTCGAACAACTCGCTGCGTGAAAAAATTTCTTCTCCCCTCCCCTCGGCTTCTTTTAGAGACTATTTTGAATCTGTGATCTCGAGTCACCGACACACCCACCAGTGGGAACAGTTTCTCCCTTTCTAACCTATCAAATAACCTAATGATTTTGAAGACCTCTATTAGGTCCTCGTAACCTTCTCTGCTCCAATGAGAATAATCCTAACCTCTCTATCCTTTCCTCATCATCACGGTCCCTCATTCCTGGTCCCATCCTCGTAAATCTCCTCTGTACCCTTTCCAATGCCTTAACATCCTTCCTATAGTGCGGTGCCCAGAACTGGGCACAGTATTCTAACTGAGGCCTAACCAGTGTTTATATGGGTTAATCATAACCTCCTGACTCTTGTACTCTATGCCCCTATTTATAAAGACTAGTATCCCATATGCACTTTTTTGCAGCTGTATCTTCCTGTCCTGTCACCTTCAACGATTCATTTACCTGCCCCCCCAGGTCTCTCTGTTCTTTTACCCCCTTAAGATTGTATTACCGCCTATATTGCCGCCCCTCATTCTTTCCACATTGAAACTCATCTGCCATAAAAACATAGCATAAGCTTAATAAAAATCCTCTATTTTAAATTGCGTCCATTTTAAATTGTCTTCCTTAATTTTACTCTATACAGTGCCAACTGTAAACAGGCGGCGTAAAGACTCATACAGATTTTCAAACAATACACTTCTTGGTAACATTCAGGGCAGGTCAGGCAGCATCTATGGAGAAAAGAACATGGGTCAACCTTTCGGGTCTTTGACCTTGTGTTTTTAAACTGCTTGTCTTTATGTTGGGCTCTATTTGCAGCTTGTGAGAAATAAGTATATTTCATCTTATTCTTGATTGTAAATTTGGAGACAATATTCAGTCAACGCAATGATAGCTATAACTGCCTCTGATACTGAACTGTATCACTGTGTACTATACTGTGTCACTATCACTATATAATACAGCAAAATTCACATTAAGTCTAAACTGTACTAATCGACAATGCTCTAATTAAATGTTCTTTTGTGTAAATCGTATCATGTAACTGTTCAATTTCCTATTAAATCCACTTTGACTTTTATCTGCATTAGTCGTATTAAAATAATAATCCTTGTATTTGATATAGGGCCTTATCATGTCTTTGAGACATCTCAAAGCGCTTCACAGAATATACTGTGTGCTGTTATTTTAAGAGGAATCCTCTCAGCCCCGACCTATCCCCCTTTCACAGAATGTACTCCTTTTTGGGTATATAGGTAGAAAAAATAGAAAAAAAGATTATTTTCTAGAGGGGGAGAGATTAGATAGTGTTAGTGTTCAGAGGGATTTGGATGTCCTTGTACACCAGTCACAAAAAGTTAGTTTGCAGGTGCAGCAGCAACTAAGAAGGCGAACGGTATGTTAGCGTTCATTGCAAAAGCTTTAGAGTACAAGAGTAGGGAAGTCTGACTGCAACTGTATAGGGCTTTGGTGAGACCGCACCGAGAGTATTGTGTGCAGTTTTGGTTTCCTTATTTAAAAAAGGACATACTTGCCCTCGAGTGGGTGATTCACTCGGTTAGTGCCTGGGATGAGGGGGTTGACCTACGAGGATAGGTTGAGTAAACTAGGCCTACATGCTTTAGAATATAGAAGAATTAGGGAGATCTTATAGAAACATATAATAATAATCCTTGCATTTGATATAGTGCTTTTCACGTCTTCTAGACACCCCCATTCTTGCCCTAACTCCATTGGCTTCCCATCACACAGAGGATACAGTTCACGATCCTGGTCCTCACCTTCAAAGCCCTCCATGGTCCTGCTCCCTCCTACCTCTGTGACCTCCTAACCCCCTACCATCCTGCTCACTACTTTTGCTCAGCGGGCAGGTGTTCAGCCACTCTGCCCCCACCCTCTGGAACTCCATCCCGCAGTCCCTCAGCCTTACCCCCTCCCTTGCCTCCTTCAAGACCCTTCAACTGTGCCTTTAATCACCTTCCTTCACCCCCTGCCCTCCCCGATCCCAAACTCAGCTCGGGTCCAAAACAACAGGGGCAGGGCAGGGTCAGGCTGTGAGGGGCTGAGAGAAGCTGTGAGGCTGATCCCATTCACAGAGAGATAGGGCGGCAGTGAGGGCAAGCGTTGTGAGGAGGAGGGGTTGAGTGGGGGTGGGGGATAGGGAGGGGTGGAGCGGAGTGGTTGTGGGGGGCTTCAATATCACACTCTCCCTCTCCTTCAATAACATCACTGGACTCAGTTTCACAGTTTCAAACAGCAGTAGCAGAGTCTGTGTAACCACCTCTCACCCCCCCGCCCCCCCCCCCCCCGAGCCATAACTTAGTTTATTTTCTAAAGTACCGACTTTCTTATATACGCTGCTTCACAAGTTATTTCCTTTTAACTGCTGCTCAAACTGTAGCAATAGCAGCAGCGAGAGTCGACCTCCTCGCTGTAACGCAATGTCACTAACCACTCAAGACAATGATGGAGGATAATCAATCTGAGGGACTGAGTATTGGACGGGGGTAATAACACCCTCAACAAAAATAGTAATAATTTGTCCATTCAATCCACGACTGTTTGTGGGACTCTGCCGGGCACAATTGGCTGCAGCGTTTCCACAAAATATACAGTCAAGTCACTTAACGGTATCTTCTGTGAAGCTTTGAGACATCTCGAAGGCACGATGAGGCGCCACTTCCTCACCCCTCAATCCGCCAAAACCCTCATCCACACATTCATCACATCTAGGCTCCTTTTGTCGGCCTCCCCAACTCTTCCCTCCACAAGCTGCAGATCATCCAGAACTCTGCAGCTCGTGTCCTCTCTCGCACCGGGCTCCGTGACCCTATCACCCCCATCCTTGCCCGGCTCCACTGGCTCCCCTTCCACCAGAGGATAGAGTTCAACGTCCTCGCCTTCAAGGCCCTTCATGGTCTTTCCTCCCTACCTGCTGACCCCATATCAACCTGTCCGCTCCCTCCACTCAGCAGGCTCCACGTCCCCGCCTGGCCCACCCCACCATCAGCCTCTCTGCCCCCACGCTTTGGAACTCCATCCCACATTCCCTTCTCTTCGTTCCCGCTCTTGCACCATTCAAGGCGTGTCTCAAAACTTTCTTCTTTGACCGAGTCTTCGCCCAACCTCTTATTTTCCCTGCCCTCCACCATCCCCGATCCCAACCCCCTGACTGTCCAGCGCCTTGGGACATCCTCCCGACATGAAAGGCGAGATACAAATGTAATTTTTTATTGTATTATATTGTTGGCCGGGGCACAAGAAGAAATTCCTTTCTCTTTTTGAGCAATACCATATACAGGCAGATGGGACGGACCTTGGTTTATCGTACAGTCAAGTTACCCCAACGCACACTCTGCCTTGGCTCTTGCCAAACTGTACCTATTTTCTGGAATTAGGTAAGCAGGACACATCCCTCCAGGGAGAGAGAGCACATTCCATTCCAACTATCTGTCTCTGGGATTTCCATGTGTAGGTGGGATGTATGGAAATCTCAGCTTAGTTTGGAGACTCTTAAGCAATGGTGACGGTTTCCGCTGGTGTCAGACACCCGACTGACCCAAAACAAACCCCGAAAGACGGCACATCCAACAATGGAAAAAGCTTTCCCCAGCACTGCACTGGAGTGTCAGCCTGGACTACGTGAATAGAATTCAAAGTCCAGACCTAGGGCTTGAGCCTTAGGGTTTGGGTTCTAATCTTTTGAGGTGAGAGTGTAACCAGCTGAGCCAGGCTGATACATTATACAACTAAAAAGTCCCTATTATCTAAAACAAAATCATAATTTCTTTAAGATTTATGAGCCATTTAATCGTATCACAATGTTTTGGTCAGAATATGAGTGGTTTGCTGTGGCTCATCCTTCTTCAATCCAGACACGAGACTCCTGGAGTGGGTCTGCGGGTGATGAGATCAGTGCCTTGGAGTCAGCCTCAAAGTTCAGAAGTCAGCCTGGAGCTCAGGTTCATGTGAGTCAACCTTGTAATAGTTGAGTGACAGGCAGTCCTGGGACTGTAACTTGTGACCTTCTGCTTCATGTTGAGATTTTAGTGTCTGCCCTTTAGTGTCTGTCTGTGATCGTAACCTGGTAACAAACGGTATTTCTGCAACCCTTGATCTTTTCATGTTCACTGCAGAGACTGAGGCTCCCGTTCCCTCTCCCGATGGGTCAACTTCACACTCCTCGCCTTTGCGGATCAATCCCTTCATGCCTCGCTATCTCTCTGATCTCATGCTCTGCTCGCCCCATCCACGCAGCTGACACCGGCCGGCTGCACGTCCCCTGTCCCTTCCACACCACAAAGTGACCAAGCCTCCAATCACAAGGCTCCTAAATTCTGGAACTCCCTGGGTCTATCCCTCAGTCTCACACCCTCTCTATCTGTCTTTAAATCCCGCCTGAAAACCTACCTGTTTCCCTCATCTCCCCCTCCACTCAGCCGGCTCTGGCCTGCTCCAGGTCCCTCGCACGGCCCATCCCACCATCAGCAGTCGGGCTTCAGCTCATCTGCCCACCTTTCATCCCACAGTCCCTTCCTCTTGCTCCCTCCCTTTCCTCCTTCAAGGCATGCCTCAA